CAGGCACCCCTAGGCTGCTTATTTTTAGAAAAACAGCAGACATGGGGCGCCTGGGTGGCTCAGTGGTTAAGCATCTGCCTTCGGCTCAGGTCATGATCCCAGGGTCCTGGAATGGGGAGCCCCGCATCAGGCTCCCTGCTCTGCTGGAAGCCTGCTTCTCCCTCTCCCACTCCCCCTGCTTGTGTTCCCTCTCTCACTCTCTCTGTCAAATAAATAAATAAAATCTTCAAAAAAAAAAATAAGAAACAGCAGACACAGGAGAAGCTCTGAAAACAGAATAGAAGTTACATTTATAAGGGAAACCTCTATTTGTAAGGGTGTCTCCCTCTCTGTACTAGGAAGAGAAGGATGACTTAAATCTCCAGAAACTCTCATCAATGGAGAAGGCAGGGACTTCAATATGCATAACAACATCCCCTTATTTACTGTGCTTGGCCTGAAACCCCCCCATAACTGGCTCCCACCCCCAATATCTTCTTTTGTCTTTAGCTGGAGATGGTATTTAAGGCGGTGGCTGAGGCCATTCTAGAGAGTTACTCAGTTGTCCTGAGCTTCTCCCATGTATATAGGAAGTATACTTGTTACTAAACTTCTGTTTGGGGGCGCCTGGGTGGCTCAGTCGGCTAAGCGGCTGCCTTCGGCTCAGGTCATGATCCCAGGATCCTGGGATCGAACCCCGCATCGGGCTCCCCGCTCAGCGGGAAGCCTGCTTCTCCCTCTCCCTCTGCCTGCCACTCTGCCTACTTGTGCTGTCTCTCTATCTCTCTGTCAAATAAATAAATAAAATCTTTAAAAAAAAATTAAAAAAAATAAACGTCTATTTGTTTTTCTCCTGTTAATCTGTCTTTTACTATAGCGTGGTCACAGCCAAGAACTTAGAAGGGTAGAGAGGGGTCACCTGGGTGGCTCAGTCAGTTAAGTGTGTGACTCTTGGTTTCGATTTTGGCTCTGGTCATGATCTCAGGGCTCTGGGATCCAGCCCCACACAGGGCTCCACGCTCATGATCGGGGAGTCCGCTTGAGATTCTCTCTCCCTCTCCCTCTACTCCTCCCCCCACTCATGCTCTCTCTCTCTTTCTCAAACAAATAAATAAATCTAAAAAAAAAAAAAAAGAAGAAGGGTAGGGGTGCCTGGGTGGCTCAGTTGGTTCACGCTCAGTAGGGAGCCTGCTTCTCCCTCTTCCTCTGCCTGCCGCTCCCCCTGCTTGTGCTCCTTCCCTCTCTCTCTCTCTCTGTCAAATTAATTAATCAATTTAAAAACAGAAGGGTAGAGGGAAAATTATTTTCCCCCTCGCATTGCCAACTGTTTCTAGAGCTCAGTTGTGCTGCTTCTCCCCACCCTTCTCCCTTAGCACTGCAGTGATCCTCCAAATCCTCTCCTCAGATGCTCCTGCCCAAGGATTGTCATCAAACCACAACTACGTGCCCTGCCTGCCGTCCCACCAGCACCACGGCCACCAAACACATTAGAAGTCATGGTCACTCCACTCTCCCTCCTCAATCATAGGAACCCCTCAGGCTCTGGGACCCTTCTATTTCAGCCTCTCTCCCATCACATTCTGTCCGCTACCAGATGATAGAAGGCGGCCAAGCACGAACCCTCAAGGCAGACACACGGTATAGTTCAGTAATTCCTCGATGGATGGATGAATGAGAAGAGGACACGCAGGATGTTGCCAACTGATCTAAGACAGTTTGCCTGTTCGGCAACCATCAGTTATCTTGATGCATTTGGGAGATTGTGAGTCCCCAGTTCCACAACCTCACTAACTGGTAGGAGATTATAGCGAAAGCAAGCATTCCAATCATGTAATATTTATTAGCAAGGAAATATAAAAACAGCCATATGAACTTTTTGTGGTTTGGGGGGCAGGTGATCTCACTTAGCTCTCTCACGAAAGGGTCATGATACATGTTCCAATGGCAGGCCCAAATCCTACAGTTGGACAAGGTGACGAGGGTGTCCCGAAGTGGAACCTCATGCAACTGATAGACTCCAAACCTCCAGCATGACTCTGAGATGTTAGGCTGCAAGAGTTGTGGGCCTCTTCAAGCTTCCTAACCAACTGTCTTAACCATCTCTGGAGTGTTGACCCCACTACATGTACTTCATGCGCTAAGAAAACCCCCTAAAGGTGTAGATTAAAGTTTAAACTGTTTATACGTGTGATATTGTGATGTTGTGATTTACAATAAGAAATATATATTTGGTCTTCATCCCCATTTCCGGCAAAGAACTGCTAAAACTACTGGAACGTCCTAAGTGATGAATATCATAAAGGTGTCCTTTGTTATGTTATTGGGGGCTTTGGGGCAACACCTAAGGATGAGGGCTGGAGGTTGAATCAATTGCCAATGGCCAGTGATGTAATCAATCACAACTGTGTCATGAAGCCGCCATAAAAACCCAAGAGGACGGGGTTCCGAGAGTTTTCTGGGTTGATGAACACATGCGGGGTCGGGGAGAGGAGAGTGGTGCACTCAGAGAGAACGTGGAAGCTCCACGTCCCTTTGCCTGTGCCTTGCCCTATGCATCACTTCCATCTGGCTGTTCTGGAGTTGTGTCCTTGTATAATAAACTGGCAATTTAGTAAGTAGACAGGTTTCCTGAGTTCTGTGACCCGCTCTAGCGAATTCATCAAACCTAAGGGGGGAGTCATGGGAACCTCCAGTCTGTAGCCGGTCAGAAGCACAGGGAACAACCCGGACTTGCAGTGGCATCTGAAGTGTGAGGGGCAGTCTTGCAGGACTGAGCCTTTACCCTGTGGAGTCTGATCTAATCTCTGGGGAGATAGGGTAATGGCATTGCTTGTTGGCGTGGCCAAACCACCCTTCCACACACATTACAATTCGTTCAGAACCTCTAAGACTGAAGTCTTTTTTTTATTATTATTAACATATAATGTATTTGTTTCAGGGTACAGGTCTGTGAAGACTGAAATCTTTTTATTTTATTTTATTTATTTATTTATTTATTTATTTATTTAAAGATTTTATTTATTTGACAGAGAGAGACACAGCGAGAGAGGGAACACAGCAGGGGGAGTGGGAGAGGGAGAAGCAGGCTTCCCGCGGAGCAGGGAGCCCGATGCGGGGCTCGATCCCAGGACTCCGGGATCATGACCTGAGCCGAAGGCAGACGCTCAATGGCTGAGCCACCCAGGCGCCCCAAGACTGAAATCTTTTTAAAGTTAATCACCATGCAGGGCTCCTGGGTGGCTCAGTTGCCTGACTTTGGCTCAGGTCCTGGTCTCAGGGCCCTGGGATCAAGGCCCTGCCTTCACATCCTGCTCCTCGCTCAGCGGGAGGTCTGCTTCTCCCTCTCCCTCTTCCTCTTGTGTGCACGTGCACGTGTGTGCTCTCTCTCTCTCTCTCAAATAAATAAATAAAATATTTTAAATAAATAAATAAAGTAAAACGCCATGCAATCCCAGTAACACACACACACAAAGCTAAACGGAGAAGGGCCAGAAATTCGGTCAAGGTCTTTTTGGCCAGGTCTCCTTAGGCACCAACCTCTTTACAACAGGAAGAGGAGAGCCAGGATTCCTTGACACATTCTTCAAGTACAAAAACAGGAATGAGGCTTAAAATTTGACTTCATTTTTCCTGGAAGCCCCAGGACTGCAATTTTTGTCGGTCCCACCAGAGAGCAACCTTTCTGCATTTATGCTCCTACTTGGCAAAACACTTGCGTCATCTCAGCACACACGCCCATCTCCCAAGTCTGAGCAGAACCAACTCTTGAAGCTTTCATGACCCAAATAAATTCCCCAGACTCTGCAAAAGTTACCCCACTTTAAAACCCTCTAGATAGATAATTTTGAAAAGCCAATGTGATGACTCACTGAAGAAAGGCTTGAGGCTCGGGTAAGAACGTTCTTTGACCTCTAGCAATAAACCTGACCCAAGGGACACTGAGCTGAGCTTTCTCTCCTCCCCCATCCCCACTGTACAGCTGTGGGTCCAAAGTTGCCCCATGCACGCTCTGGGAAGAGAGAACTTTCACTGGGGTGAAGGACCTGTAGGAAGCCACCTCTGGCTCCATGGTGCGGTCTCTACACTGCATTGGGAGAGCGGAGTGTTGACATTGATTGAATCAGGGCAGGTCAGGGGCATGGCCAGGCTCCGCACCAGGCGAAACAGAGGAATCCAAAGATTTCCCAGGCTGTTCCCTTAGGATACAGAACACCCCTTGGGATCCCTGGGCTATGATAGTTGGCACGTCAGATAAATAAAAGACGCTCACACATCTCATTTCAGCGTCTTACATATTCTGTGGACTGCTAGACCTAGTATGAGTTACATTGTAGAGGAATCTGAAACAAATGCTTTCCCTTTAAAATAACTAAGGTGGCCAATTAACACTGAAGATATCTGCTCCCTTCTTGGTCTCTGCAGTAACTTCCCCATCCATGCCCCATCCTAGCAAGACCAGGTCTTGTTGGCTTGTCCAGAGCCCTGCTACACCGTAAACAGTGTATATGGGTCACCATCTCGTTCCATGTCCTGTTAGAGGACCCCTACTTGACATTTGCAGACAGAGAAATGGTGCAGTTCTATAGATTCATCCTCGTCTGTGGCTGGGTCCTTGCACAGCCCTGCCTCCCACCCCCCGCCCTTCTCTAAGTAGAGTCAGATTCAGGGATTGATGTCTCCTAGGCTCATCCACGAAATACAGACAAGCCATTCAGAATAGGTTTTTCTTTTATCTGAAGCTAGTCTGTGGAAGTCTTTGAGTATTAGAAACCATCTTCCAAATTCATTCATTTATTTTTAAATTACTAAATAAATCTTCCAATACTAATTATATGACTAAGGCACTGTTGGGAAAATCAATATGTGTACAAAATAAAGATGCTTCCATTGATAATATGATACATGTATGTGTGCATATCATGTATGTGTGTATGATGTAGCTGGAAGAGTTAAGGAAGAGAACACCCCCACCCCGCCCGCCGGCAACCAAACCAATACAACACTCTAGGTCATGTGTGAAAATCCTTTATTGTTGAGGAGTAGAAAGAGGCGTCTTATTTTTAACGGAGGACACTCCAGAAACCCCAGGGGAATCTATAGTCAATGCCCAAGGGGACTGAGGATGCTCACTCTGCGGTTTCTACATCACGGTGGAGTAGAGGGATGGGGAAGGAGTCAAAGTACAAGAGTGTTACAAGGATGGGGGAAAGAAAGGGGAATGGGAGCACATGCAGCTGGGGGTTGAGAGGGGGTGACAGGTGTCTTCACGATGCAGCCCAGGGATCCAGAAGTAGAGTGCTGAGGACCAAAAAAAAAAAAAAAAAAAAAAAGAAATCACATCTTCTGTCTCGTAAAACTCCCACCAACCACCGGCTGCGGAAGCCGGGCTGTGTGTGTGTGTGTGTGTGTGTGTGTGTGTCGGGGGTGGGTATGTAAGGGAGGAAGAAAGAGAATAGAAGTCTTAGCCCTCAGCTTTCTGTGTAGCCTTTGAACTAGAGGACTGAACCCTTCTAGCTGCAGGAGAGTGCCCCTTCCTGGTTGCATGTTTACCATGCTACTTAGAGACACTCATAGGCAAGGTCTGTAGTCCATGTAGGAGGATGTAGTGGCAGGGTTCCTATCATCCTTGCATCCCCATGAGTCAGGCACACACATAGCCCCATTCAATGAGTCCTGATGCTGATGCTCCCCCAGGCTCACCCATGCCCTCCTCCTCTTTCCGGAAACCTCCCAGAGGAAGCGCAGGCCCAGGGATCACTTCCTTTGTTAGCAGATTCACATGAATGAAATAAGATGACCCAATGATCTGTGTTGATCCATCTCATCTAATCTCCTTTAAATGCCAGCCCCCAGGGACTTTATGTGCTGTTCTCCCTGGCACCTAACAGGTTGAGAATGCTCCATCAGTGGTGAGATTACGAAGGCTGCAATTATGCGACTGGCCCCTCTGAAAGAGCCTGGCTTCACCAGCGAGCATTAAAAGTAGATTTCCACAATGCACTTGTTTCCACCATTTGTATAAAATACTATGGCAAAATTGCACTGTAATTATCTTTATGGCCGATGCATAACGCTGGGGGAGAGTATGTCATCCAGATAGAGCTGCCCGTATAATTATCTGGCGGTCAGCAGGACTGAAATAACCATCTAATGAGAGCAAAATGATACGGAAAGTACCCTGTAATCAGCGAGTTACGGTTATTACGGCTCTTTGTGCCCTCTCACCCAACACTGAATAGGGGGCTAGACCTAGTCTCCAGGCCCAGGGAGCCATGCACAGGCGGCTTCATCGAGAGCCATGGAGAACTCTTGCTCCTTTGGTCTCCCCTGAGACCAATGACTGTGGGTAACAGGGACACAGGGAGAGGGGCGGGAGTCTCTCCCTGATAACATAGGCTTCCCAACCCCTCTCTTTTTCTCCCCCCACACCGTCTTTCTTCAGAAGCTAATGCAAAGAAAGCCATCCATTGGGCTGCTATTGCCGTGTGGGGGAAGATGCGGTTGAGATGGAAGTTTCCATGTTTTGACTAGACGCTTCCCTGGGGACTCTCATACCCACATACCAAGTGATAGATCTGTCAGCCCACTCAAGCCCGGGGTCCAGCCCAGACAGCTCTAAAGCAGACAGACCAGAGCCAGCCAGGGGGAACACTGGGACATGACCCACACCTCCCAGACCACAATAATCATAACACAGCCAACACACAGCTCTATACTATGTGCCAGGCACTGTTCCAAACACTACCTATGCTCCATCCTCAAAACCACAACCCTGCAAAATAATATTATCACCCCCATTTTTTCAGATGAGGAAACTGAGGCACGGAAGGGTTATGTAACTTGGCCAAGGGGACACAGCCAGTGAGCTGCAGATCCAGGATTCAAACTCGGGCTATGCTCTTAGCCATTACGCTACCCAGAGCAACTAAGATAATGGTTTCTACTTACTCCCCATTAAATTTCAGAGTCCCTTGCGTTTCTTCCTAAATCACCCTTGTGAAGAATTACACACTAGACCCAGTCACCTGAGATTCTGAATGATCTGAATGGTTTTTGCCTACCTAGGAGGCAGAACACTTCACCTGAGTTGGATGTGGTGCCTGCAACTATCAGATGATGGTGCCTCCATCTTGTATACAGATAATGAGAGAATGGAACCCGAATGACAGAAGTTGACCATCAGAGAAGCCATAGGGGAAACCCCTCATTCCCCATGTCCCACCACCCACGCCTGCTCAAGAGTCAGCCAGGGTCCATGATACTGGGGAAAGAGATGGAAAGTGGGGCACGTGTGCGTGCATGTGCGCGCATGTGTGCACATGTTCTTGCAGACAAGTGTGCACCTCTGAGTGATGGTGTGTTTGACCAACAGTGTGCTGGGCACTGACAGTGCATTTTAGGGCAAATTTATGAGTATTAATGCCTGTAGCATCAGAGGAAATGCCTCTCTGGCAACCCCCCCCAACACACACACACAGAGTCCCCTCTCCTCTTGCTAACCAACAATCCTTACCTCATTCCACACTGGGGGGATACTTGAGGGTGCCAAAGCTGGGGACATTCTCTTGGTTTACATCAATAGAAGTGTCTGGGGTAAAGTAAACAGGGTAGTTAGGAGGGATTTTTCTGAATGTGACCTTCACCCTGACCCAACAGCAAAGCGCTAGCCATTAAGGGCAGCGTTGGAAGACAGAGTTGGGAAGAAGAGGCACAGTGTGTTTGGGAGATGGGGAGGAAGGACAGCCCCCCCAACTCCTTCCCAGCTACAGCAGGACTATCTTATAAAGGTTTCCCCATTATGTTCCCAGGGAGAGCTGGACTGTGGATCCAACCTGACTGGGTAGAAGGGCCGAGGAACCCTCACTATAGCTAAGAGAAGTCCTGCCTTTCCCTCTGGTGACAAATAGGAGGCCCTTGACTTCTGCCATATCTTTGCTAGCAGCCTAAACCCTCCCACTGTACCTCCACACACTCCTACCTGGCTGGATATACCTCTTGCCCATAAGCCCCACAAAGAAGTCATGCATGTCACCTGTAGAAAAAAGACCAACATTGCCAACAGTGATCATGGGGGTAGGTGGGGGGATGGGGATGCATTCTCCCAGACATGTGTCAAGACTTCTGAATTTGGGTTTCTGGTCTTTGGTTCTTTATCAAAGCCACAGCTTGACTCCCCAGTTAACAGGTTGTCCCCTAAGCCCACACTCTCTGCCCACCTCTCCCTCCTCCACATTTCAAGAATTCTCTGCCCCCACAGGTGCCTGGCTTAGAATCTTCACAGCCACCAAGAGATTCTCTTGTTCCCAATGACCAGCTGATGGAGGGAGAGTCCATCGCGCTCCTCACACCTGTTTCCTCCTGGTTCCCAGTGACCCCTCACGCCCAGGAAAGTCTGGTTGAGGAGTTACAGCTGGCATATTGTTTGGGCCAGCTGAGATGAGGCCAGCCAGAATAGTCACTGAGACCCATGCCCATGGAGCTGTAGCATGCGGTCAGCAGAGACAGGGAGGGAGAAGACGCTACTCACGTTTCTGGGGAAGTGGCGATTCCTTAGGATCTGTGAAAACAAGAACAGTGTGTCAGTGGGGAATGGAATCTGGAAAGTGACAGTCAGAGGGGGTTCAGAGCACAACCCTCAATTATTCACCAAGCCATCTCCAGTCTCCATCCCACCCGAAGGCTCCTCCCAAGCCTATTTAATCATCAGAATCCTGGCCCCCACCCCCTCTCCCCAGGGCTGCTTCCTACCCATGCTAGCCTTGCTCAACATTTTGAGCAATCCATCCAGAGAGACGGAGCGGCCATCATAGAGTTTCCGGAGCAAGGACGAGGGCAACTGGTAGAGGTCCAAGTCCTTCTAAGGGACAGAAACAAAGAGGGCTGAGGCAGGAGGTTCAAACCTAATCCACTCACCCCTCCCCACAAAGGACAGCCTCTTCTTGAGCCCATCATAGCTGAACCTGACATCCTGTATCTTTTGGAATTTCTTCTGGTTTATACTGGAAGAGAAATGGGCTCTCAAAGTGTGGTCCACAGATCAGGAGCATCACTGCTGGAGACTTGTTAGAAATACAGTATCTCGGTATTTAGGAGGGCACATTCTGCATGGAGCACTGGGTGTTGTGCACAAACAATGAATCATGGAACACTTCATCTAAAACTAATGTTGTAATGTAAGGGGATTAACATAAGAATAAAAAAATTAAAAAAAAAAAAAAAGAAATACAGTATCTCACTCTCAGTCCTACCCCAGACCTACTGAGACAACCTGCATTGTAACCAGGCCCCCAGGTGATTGGTATGCATGGCAAGATTTGAGAAGTCCTGGAAAAGGGAGCACCTTGGGCATCCCTGGAGGCAGACCAACTGTCCTGGTTGGCCTGGGACTGAGTGCTTTCCTGGGATGTGGGGTTTTCAGTGCTTAAGCTGGTGGTCCTGGGAACACTGGGACAGTTGGTCACTATATCTCCCAAGCTCAAAGGGGACTGTCTCTCGGGGCTCTCTCCTAACTACTGCCACCTCTCAGTGAGAAGGGCCATTGGTTCTGTTCTCCTTGGCACATCAGGAAGCAGCTTGCCCCAGGATATGGTTGCCCCACTAGGTGAGTGAGCCATGAATTCCAAGAAAGGCCCATCACTCAGAGCAGGTGTCCTCTGTGTGATGGAGTCACACACAGGCCTCAGTCCTCGGAATGGCTGTAGGTAGGCAGCCAGTGCTCAGTGGCAATCCTGAAATCCCCCTACCCTGCGCCATGTTTGTGGTGGATGTTTCTCTCCCTATGGTTCCCACCACCTTTCTTTTCTTCTCCATAGGTTTCTGCCTCTGGTTGTCTCTCCCTCTCTCCTTTCTGTACTGAATTTGGAATTTCTGGAAGACTGTGTGTTCAGAATGACTCCTCTTCTCCCCCACAAATGAACCCCATTCTGGACCCGCTGCCAGGCAGGGGCCCTTCATTGCCTTGGTGATTTTTTTTTTAGCAACTTGGGCACAGCTGAGTGTTGGTGGGCACACACCACACAGCCAGTTAATTGCAGGAGCAGAGAGACAATGACAATGATCATGTTTGGAGAGTCTCACCTTGAGTCTCAGCGGCGCCTCTCTCTCTCGACAAGCCCAGATGTCCTTGGGCTGCTGAGCACACACAGAGCACATTCACATGGGATGCACCCCTGCACATACCAACCCGGTTGCCTAGGCACACATATATCCTACCCTCGCCTCACCCTAATTTCCCTCTTCCTCACAGACCATCGGGGAGAAGGGGTGGGATGGCAATCTCTCCCTTTCATTGACCAAGAGGTAAAGGTCTTGAAGCAAGCTTATCTTAGAAAAATTTTTCCAGATATTCTGACTATCTCCAGCTGGAACTTTTGGCTCCAAACATAGTGTCCAGCCCATATGCGGCACTCCTTGTGTATTTTTTTGTATTTTTTAAAGGATTTTATTTTTAAGTAATATCTATACCCAATGTGGGGCTCGAACTCACAACCCCGAGATCAACGAGTCTCATGCACTACCGTCTGAGTCAGCTGGGCACCCCGATTTTTTCTATTTTTTTTTAAGATTTTTTTAATTTATTTGACAGTGAGAGACACAGAGAGAGAGGGAACACAAGCAGGGGGAGTGGGAGAGGGAGAAGCAGGCTTCCCGCTGAGCAGGGAGCCTGATGCGGGGGCTCGATCCCAGGACGCTGGGATCATGACCTGAGCCGAAGGCAGACGCTTAACCGACTGAGCCACCCAGGCACCCCTTTTTGTATTTTTTTTAAAGATTTTATTTATTTATTTGTCAGAGAGAGAGAGAGCACACGCAGAGGGAGAAGCAGGCTCCCCGCTGCACAAGGAGCCCATGTGGGCCTCGATTCAGATCATGACCTGAGCTGAAGGCAGACGCTTAATCAACTCAGCCCCCCAGGCGTACCTATTTTTCCTATTTTTGAAGAGATTCTGGTCTTTTGGATCTGGTGCAACGGCCACCACCTGCAAGACTGGTAGCCTATCGTGCCTTGGGACACATATGGATGAAGATTGATTTCTCTCTTTGTCCTGCACACGGCTTCCTAGGCAGCCACTTTTCCCAAATTGTTCAAATATTCTACCCACCTCCTGTAATGAGATGCTAAACTGATCTGAGCTGGAGAGGAGTTAGACTTCACACACTGAATTTGTAATAAGTTCCATCTATAATCATCTTAAAAGCATGTGTACCAATGTAATTGCTGTCATTTCAAAACCCTGAAAAGACTTCCTCCCTGCTCTCCCCCTGTACCCCATCACTGACAACTCCTGTTCCTTTTCTTAGAGAAAGTTTGGAAATCTGAGCTCAGTCTGTGTTGTGGGGATTTTGCCCCCTATCCTGAGTAAGCAGAGGCTAAAGTGGGGGCAAGAGAAAGGAAAGAAAGGATTGGGGTCTTAGGAGAACCTGATGTTACTGGGGGTGGATGAGCAGGGGATAAGGGAATTTATTTGAATTTTGAAAACAAAATAATATACATAACTGATAGGTAAAATAGCATACAAATGACCATTTGGGAGAGAATTTCCGACTGCATATCATCCCATCCAGGGAGTGGAGAGGATCTGCCCCCCTAGAAACTGAGCAGGACCACCCTAGCTTACCCCTCCAGGATCCAACCCCCCAAGTCACCGGTCAATCAACCAACTGCACAACATACTCGTAGGGCACTTTTTAGGTACAGGGTTATCAAAGACACACGGAGGCACTGAGACACTTACAGACATGCCTAGAGACAGTGAGAACATGAGACCACCAGAGAGGCAGGGAAACCCACGCTCTGACGGATCACCCAGCTAACTCCCAGTGTGCCTGTCCCACCTTCCTCTCAACTGCTGTGGAACAGGCAGAGTGTCAGCTCTCGTGATGTTGCCCAGTGCCCCGCCAGGGTGGGCTCAGCTAGACGGGGTGCCTTACCTTGTTGTGGCCCCCACCAGGCACCACCTGCTCCTGTGAGTCCTCCCAGACAGCCCCAAAACTGTAAGCCAGGCTGATGGCCAGAATGGCTGCAAATAGCAGGGCCTTCCGCATGGTGCCTAGGAGGGCAGAGCGACAGACAGAAACCAGGGGAGAAGGATACAACACACGTGCAGATGCAGGAGACATTCTGTGACCCGCATCCTGTCTTGACCCTGCTTCCCCAGCCCCCAACTCTCCCATCTAAGCGCTGGTCCGGGGAGAGTATCTCTGGGCAGGACGGCCAGTCCTTGGGCTCAGCGTCCCTGCTCCCCCATCACACATCTCCCCACACTGAGCACCTGGCAATGAGCCATGTGGCAATAGCACCAGACTAGTCCCCACAAGAGGATGATAGATTCGTAGGACACGCACAGGTCTGCCTTCTTAGTCAGCTTAAGGAGGGATCCTGGATTCTAGTTTCCAGCACTAGATAACCCAAGACTTAGGCAAAACTTTCTAGTATTGGAAGAATCAGTCTGAACCCACGGGCTCCAAACATTACTGGTTCTCAACCCCTAAGAGCACTTTCTGCTTCCCTTCCCCGTACCCTGCTCCGAGATCAAAAGCTGCCACCTCTATTCCCTCCGGTCCCTTATTCCCTCCTAACTCTGGCCTCGGTCCTTTGGTGCCAGCTCCAGTCCATCCAACATTCTCCCACTCGTGCCTACCTGTGGAGCAGCCTTGAGCCTAGGGCAGATGGTCTAACAGGATCAGGGAGCTGGCTGGGAGCACTGCCCACTCCCCCACCACACACACACACACACACACACACACACACACACACACGTGCGCTGGTGGTGCTGCTGCCTCCGTGGAGAGAGAGACAGGGAGTGGAGGGGATCTGAGGATGTGGCAGGAACTCCTGGGCAGCTCCCAGATAAAGGCTCTGGGAGGGTCTGGGGGGCTGGGGGAGGGGCTGCGAATCACCAATCCCAGGGTGGCTGGAGGGGAGGGGGGAGGCTGGTGAAGAAAAAGGAGGATATAGGCTGCAGGCGTGCTTGCGTGCGCGCGTGCGCACGCACACACACACACACACACACACACACACACCACAAACCTGCAGTATGTTATCCAGCAGCCCACTTCTCAACAGCCCCTGAGCTGGGCACACTAAGGAATGATGTTGTGTATGTTTTGTACCAAAATGTCCATGCTGGATCTAGCTCAGTAGGTGTGGTCTCTGAGTCTCCTTCTCATTGTTCACACACCAGCTCCTTGCCCTTTAAACCTTCAGACTCAACTGCCAGGCCAGAAGCATTTCAGGCAGGTGCTTCTCTGGCCCTCCCACACCCCCGGAGACAACTAGACTCAGGCCCCTGAGCAGTGGGAGGTGAGTCTGGCATCCCTTGCCGTCCTCATTTCTCCCTCTGTCCTCCTTCTAGCTGCAGCTGACCCATCACCTTGGTCCTCAGACCCAGTGAAGGTCAGCACTTCTCCCCTGCTATTAATGCAGAAACTTCCAGGGTCTGCCTCCCTCCACCCCTTCGCCAGTGCTATTGCCTCTCCCCCGCCCCCCGCCACTCCCTCTTAACCCCTGAATCAGCCTGATATAGTTGCATTCTTCCAGAGTTCTAACTTCTATCCCTCCTGCTAGAATCTCGGGAAGGAGCAACAGAACACGGTGGCCGAGCTGTCACCCCCCAATCCTCTCCCTGGCCCGGTCCAGCCCAGCATTGATCTCTTAATTGCTTCTTTTTTCTCACAGTTACATGTTTTCCCCTCTCTAATCGGCTTCCCTGCAGCCAGGCATCTTCTCCCAAGCCTCTCCTTCATTCCCCATTCTATTGAAGGAGCTCATGCTGCTCACGTCATATCCAAGGTGGAGCCCCAGGGGAGGGGCAGAGTCAGAGTTGGGATGGAAGGAGAACGGGAGACAGAAGATGCTGCTCAGGGAATGGGGCGGGGGGGTGTGGGGTGGCCGGTGGAGTGAAAGCAGCTTCAGAGCCATTTGTCACTCTTAGCATTTCCTATTTTTCAGGGGAGGAAACTGAGGCTCAAAAAGTTCAGTCCTGGGGCACCTGACTGGCTCAGTCGGGAGAACATGTGACTCTTGATCTCGGGGCCGTGAGTTTGAGCTCCACATTGGGCGTAGAGATTACTTAAAAATAAAAAAATCTAAAAAAAAAAGTTCGGGGCGCCTGGGTGGCTCAGTCGTTAAGCGTCTGCCTTCGGCTTAGGTCACGATCCCAGAGTCCTGGGATCGAGCCCTGCATCGGGCTCCCTGCTCAGCGGGAGGCCTGCTTCTCCCTCTCCCACTCCCCCTGCTTGTGTTCCCTCTCTCGCTGTGTCTCTCTCTGTCAAATAAATAAATAAAATCTTAAAAAAAAAAAATTAAAAAAAAAAAAAGTTCAATCCTGTGCTCCACGACATACAGCTACTGAAGAAGAGCCACAAATTCAGGGTTGGTTGTTTTTTTTTCACTCCAAACCCCCCCTTCGTTTTACTGCACTGGTACGAACTTTGACGGGTGAGGGAGCAGTTAACTCTCCCAGAGCGAGTGGTGGTCCCCTCTCTGAGACACCCGGAGGTTTGGGACCTTGCACTCTTCTCCATCTGGGGTTGTGAGGAGAACCACAGCCGTTGTGTATTTACTACAAAGACTCCCGCTCACCAACGCCTTCCCCAGTCACCCTACTTAAAATGACCACACTTTCACACTCCATATCCCCCTTCTGTTTCTTCTCTTCATCGTTTATTACATCCCATACACTAAATGTTTCACTTATAGCCTGTCTACCCCACCCCCCCACCAGAATGTCCGCATTACAGTGGCAAGGACTTTTGTCTGTTTTGTTTACTATTGGATCCCTAGCTCTATAGTGTTTGGCATATAACAGGTGCTCAATAAAAATTTATTTATACAACAAAAAAGGAAGCCTGAGGCTTCCTTCTTGCATTGCAGCCCACAGTGTGGCTCCTCCATAGAGCCTCTCAAGTGCTGCTAGGGTCCTGAAATGCTTGTCTCCCACTCCACACTGCCAACACCCCACCCACCCTGGGACTTGCGCTGTACTGAGAGGAGTCACTCTGCCTGCACATGGCCCCACGTTCACCCTTGAGTGAGGGCAGCAGCTGGGTCTCAAGGCCCCTTTATTACATGAGAGGCTAGTGGGGCCTCATTTAAAGCCTCCCATTATCCAGGTAATTACAGCGCTGTATGGGCCAACTATGGGCCAGGACCCAGGGTTAGGAGCCTTTGGTGGGATGAGGGGTAGAAGCTGGAGCCTATTTACATGTAAATGGCATGGCAGGTTCATGCCTTTGAGAAGCTCAGGCGCTGATCCTAATTGGATGCAGCCATCTCTTACCTCTTCACTTCCCCCTACCAGTCTGGAGAAGGAAATCCAGGCTAGGCAGGCTGGAGGGAACCAGGGTGGTGGCTTGGTGGGGGGCGGGGGGGGGGAGCAGGAAAAGGAGTGTTAGACCGAGGGCTCAGGACTAAAGCCTCCTGGGTCCCATCTCCGAGGCAGCCTCTCTCCACAGCCCCCACCCCTCCATCCCTGCCTCCGTGCCCTGGCACCAGGGAAGCAGGGCTTCAGCAAAGGTCCACCATGAATAATGTCCTTTGATGATGCAGTATCTCACAGAGGATGGCAGGAGCCAAGGATGGGGGGAGCAAGGGCATGACAGGGAGAACTGATCACCCCTTGATCTCTGGGACTAGCAGAGACTTGAAAGAGCTAATGCTAAACTAAGCCAGGGAAGTGAGGAAGGAGGGAGGCTTTGAAGGGTTGGGGCAGGCCGGGCTTCATCTTGCCCACACGCCGTGTGCAAATGGCATGTGAAGTGCGTGTTGCAGCTCCGGAGCGCCTAGGTGGTTTTCCCTTTGACACTTTCCGTTTGAGCCACATCCTGGACAGCCATCACTGGCCTAGAGGAGCGGGGTCCCTAGCAGGTCCTCCCTCTGGAGCTCCCTCTCTTTGTTGCTGGGGTGGGCTGGGGATGAGGCCAGGAAAATGTGTGTTGAGTTGAGAGGAGATGGCGTTTGTCGGCCGTTCCTGGGGCTGACGAGCGTGTGTTGTGCGTGCGAGATGACCCACATATGTCTACCACATGCACGACTAGGGTGCAACACGGCGACTTCGCCAACGGAGAGGTGCTGTGGGGCTGGGGGGGAGAGGCCAGGCTGTAAAGGACCCGGGGCGGAGACACCAGGAAAGGATGGGAGGGTGGCCGCTTCTGCATCCTGCACAGTCCTGCAGCCAGGCGACAGCTGGGAGCCGGTCCCCAGCAAGGAGCTGGAGGAGCCCCCAGTAAACTGCAGAGCAAATGGGCTGGGCCAGGAAGGCCGGCTTGAGCTGCTGTGAGCTGAGGCATAGAATGGCTCCTCATGGGGACTAGGGGCCTCCAGGCCGGCTTGTGCCCCTCAAAGAAACCACCCAGACTTCAAGAATGCTGGGCTGGCCGCGCAGGGAGGCAGCAGAACCGCAGCTTCTCCCGCCCCGATGGAGCCAATTCAAGCCCTATAGCACAGGTGGGGCAACAGAGCCCCCAGAGGCTTCGGGGGCCTGAAAACGCACACTCCTGGGCCCCAGAAGAGAAGAGAGGCAGAGTTGGAAACACACAGGAGGGAGGGATGGGAGAGTAAGGGAGAGGAACCTCACCCTTCCTCAGACCAGCAGCAGTCCACATGACTGCTGGAGGGAGGACAGGAGGGGGACAGGGACTCCAGCCCTCCCCCCGCTCCCCTCCCCAGTCCAGAGAGCTGACAGTGCCTTCAGCCCTGGGGAAGGAAAGCAGGATGGGGAACAGCAGCTGCATATTCTCCTGAAATTGCTTCTGAAAATGACCAGACACTTCACTGGGAAAGTGACGACAATTTGGGCCCTGGGAGCAGGAGATGAGGCGGAGAGCGGGGGCGGTCAGGCTCTGGTAACCAACCCCCCTGGCCAGACAGGATCTCCTCGGCCTGATTCTGAGAAGTCAAGGATGGGGGGAGCTGTGGGGGGTGGCAGAAGGCTGACTGGGAGCCTGAGCTCCCCTCACTCAGGACACAGCCCCCCCACCCCCCCACCCCCCTCCTGGGAAGAACTGACTCCCTGGGCCCTTCCCCCCCTTCCCCCCTTCCCCCCCCCCCCCAGCAGGGTGTGCAGGAACGCGGGCTGGTGCTCAGAGAGCGACATCAAGCTGCAGGCAACAAGAGAAGCGAGAATCAGGTCTCCCGCCAGCATGATTACCTGGGGCCGTGAGCTGCCTGCAGATGATAGAAACTCTGGAAGCTCGAGGTGGAGGGAAACCCCAGCCTCCAGGCCCAGAGAGCTCAGTGGTAGAGATAGGGAAGAGGCAAGGAAGGTAGGGGTGGTGAAAGGAGGGACAGACCTGCAGAGACAGGAACAAAGGCAGCCATTTGTACGTTCTCACAGAGCACAAATCTACCTTTCACTGCAAACACGGGAGCTGCTTGTTCCCTAAAGTACAGAAAGGGGTGGGAGAGGCTGAGACAAGCAGAGTCTATAAGGAAACAGATATTAAGGGAGAGGGGAGCTATTCAGAGCGTTATACAAAATATTACATATTGATATTAGAGCCCACAGAAAAGGGGACAACGAGATGGTGTGAAACAGTTGAAAATCAAGAAAAAAATAATGGCGATGACACAAGGGTGGGATGACATAGGGGTGGGAGAGTCTGGGTCCGGGAGCCTCCCCCACCCCCCACACCCTCTGCAAGTGCCACCAGCTGCCGGCCCCAGCTGCGGTGCAGTGATTAGCAAGATAACTGTTGGCAGAAGCCTTGCATCTCTGGTGTACAGAAAGGAAGGGGATGCTGGGGGGCAGATGTGGCAGAGCCCAGTGATGAGCTTGGGGATGGAGGGGGCACTGGAACTCTTGGGTGCAGGGGACCCTGCATTCCCCAGCTCACCTCAGCTCACATGAGCCCGCCAGCCTTGGGCCTCTTTTCAGGCTAAATCTCCAAAGGATCCTAGTTTCCGACAAGACAGGGATCCTCACTTCTTCCCTCCAGGGACACACTTAATGAATCAGCCCGTTGGCCACCTGGGACCTGAGTCCCATCGCTGGCTGCCCCACCCCCACCCCAGTCTCTCCAAACCCCGCCAGAGCTCAGCCGGTCAAGGAGCCTGCAGACAATTTCCCTTCTTTTCCATTCTTATTATCTGCATTTGCTAGCTCCAAGGAGCCTGAGGAGGGGAAAGGGGGCGAGGGCAGTCAAAGTACAAGTCCTGTGAGGGTGGGGGAATAGGGACTCACCCACACTGAGCGAATGTTTGGGAAGTCACTTGTTTTATTAGTGGGCAAAGAGGCTGAGGGTTGGGAGGAAGCTAAGTTCTAAGGGAGAGGGGACTGGAAGAGTTTGAGAGAAGAAAGGTCCTCTTCAAGGGTTCTTCAGTCTCTGAGCCCCATCCCCAGGATCAGAGGGGTTGGACAGGAGATCCTTCCACAAACGCCGGTGGACACTGGTCCTGGAGAAGAAGCTGTTGTCCCTGCGTTCGGCCCCCACCTCCTCACTATACAGTCACTTCCAGGCCACGGCCTCCTTTCTTCTTGCAGCTTAGCTTGCCATTTCTACCACCCTCAGGGCCCTGGATGACCTTGACAGCCACACTGCTCTCCTTGAACCTCACTGAGAAACTGGAGGGGGAACAGAAAGAGGGGCAAAGCTAGTACCCCCATCCCCTTACCCCTACTCCTATATTTTCATGATGGCTTCCCCTCCCCTTCTTGAAGGAAGCGCATCTCTCCTCCCCTTGCGTCAGAAGACTCGGGGCCCCAGAGAACTTGGGTGGGGAGACTAAGAAGCACCTCCGAGCCTTGCCCTGACAGAGTGTGCTTCACTTTCCGACTACACGCATTTTCCCGGTCACAATGACCAACAGCTTGGTCACCTGCCCCCAAGCTGGCCCTCACCCCCAGCTCATGGCCTTACTTCTCAGTCACGGCGACTGGAAGCTGCTTCTGTGTGGCCTCCAGCACAGCCCGGTACATTTTGGTTAGCAGTTCAATCACATGTTCACTGACCAGCAGGAAGTCCCCCTTGGAGCCTGCTGATGATATCTTAGGAAGGGGGGAAAGGGTGAGGACAGAATTCAGTTTTCCTCCACAGGAGCAGCCTGAGAGGCTTTGAAGGCCCAGAGCGAGAGGTCTGGGCCCCATCACCTCCAGCCCACCCCAACCCCGTGATGCCCACCACCTTCTCCAGTCCGAGGGCCTGCACCCAGGGGGCTCTTATACCTCACTCAGATGTAAGCTGAAAAGCCCATCCTTGAAGCCAGTGACTGACACCCCGGCCACACTGTCCAGCCCAATGACAGTTTTGGCCTGGGACTTCTTGGTGTCTACAAGAATCACATGCCCTTTGGTCAAGAGAAGAATTCGAGAGGAAGTCTAGGGACAGAAGAGGAAAGTGTGAGGAAAGGCGAGGATAAACCCCCACCCTTCCAGCTACCAGCCCCAAGGCTCTGGCGCAGGCTCTGGGGAGGAGTTCTGGATGCAGGCCTTCACCTTGCCGTTGCCACGATTGACCTTCTTCACGGTCTCTGCCACCAGAACAGGCCCTTCCAGACCACCCGTCAGCTTCTGCAGCTTGGGGTTCCCTTGCAGCCCAATGTAGTCACCGTGGAATGGGATGGGGACACTGAGGACACACAGGAGGTACATGGTGGAGACCAGGTTCTTACCGCTGACCCCCAAGGCCCTGGGCCTCCCCACAGTGAGTTCCCCTCTTAGTCCTCCCATGCCCCTTTCCTCACCCTCCACCATATCCTCTATCTCAGTGGTTCTCAGAATGTGGTCCACGACCAACAGCAGCGTCCCCTGGGGACTTGTTAGAAAGGCAAATTCTTGGGCCCACAGCCCCAGACCTGCCGAATCAGAAACTCTGAGAAAGGGGTGCAGCAATCCGGGTGTTACCAAGCCTGCCAGGTGGTGCTGATGCACACTCAAGTTTGGGAACCACTGCCCTATCCCACCTGGGGGAATCCTCTCTTTGCTCCTGATGAAACTGACTGCGTGAGGTCTGAGGGGCCCTCACCTCTGGGGGTAGGAAGCCTTCTTGCCCTTGAATAGTTCGCTGGCACAGAGCTTCTCCTTCAGGATCTCTACCTGCTTCGGGGACAGCTGATCCCGGAATTTCTTGCACTGTGAGGGGGAGGGGCAGGGGCTAAGCTCCCGGAGGCAGGGGGCAGGACTGGGGAGGGGGGTGGGGGGAACACTGAGAGGTGGAGAAGAGGAGAGACAGCAGATAGAACAGGCTCTAGGCACTTCAGAGAGGCCAGGGGCTGCAGGAGCCCTGGGGCCTGAGGGACTCCGGGGGAGAGGGATGGAAACAATCAAATGCCAGCCCTAGGAGGGAGGGCTGTATGCCCAGCACACAGCGCAAGGCCTAGTCTAGACAGGTGTTCAATAAGTATTTCCCGAACGGAAGAACACTGCTGAGTGAAATAAGCCAGACATAGAAGGACAAATGTATGATTCTACTTATATGAGGCCCCTAGCACAAATTCACCGAGAAAGTAGGGGATGCGTTCCAGGGCCTGGAGGAGTGGAGAACGGGGAGTCACTGCTTCATGTGTACGGAGTGTCAGTTTGGGGTGATGAAACGAAGTACGGAGATGGATGGTGGTGATGCTCTCGCAACAATGTGAGTGTGCTTAATGCCGCCGCACTGTCTACTTTAAAATGGTTAAAATGACCAATTTTGTTATGTATGCTTTTCCACAATAAAAAAAAATGAAAAAAAAAAAAAAGTGGAAGAGGGAGGCAGGAGAGGAACATCAGAGGGAGGAGGAGAGAAAGAGAAATGAGAGGCGCGGTCCCCGGGCCTGCCTCACCTTCCAGCGGTAGAAGAGCTGCCGCAGCTCCTGGTTAGCTGTGTGGAAGCATCTGTAAGGTGCGGCCGGCCACGTTTTGTCCAGGATGTTGGTAGACGGCAAACTGTCCTTCAGCCCCAGCAGGAACTTCTGTGTCTAGATGGGGAAGGGGCGGGATTGGGAGTGGACCAATGAGAAGAAAGTCCTCCCAAGAGGCAAACTCTCCTCCAGATCCTGCCACTAAAAAGGAGGGAGGCCACCCAGAGTGAGAAGCACCAAGTGGAGCAAGGAGATGGAAGGGAGTCCTCTCCCGGATCTCTTTTGGTGTCAAGTGTAGGCTGGAGGCTGGCCAGTAAAAGTATGAAGGGAGGGAAGGGTTAGTTCCAAGCAGAGACCTGCTGCCCAGGGTAGTGAGGTGAGAGGAACCAAGGTGAAAACTGGCCTCGAAAGTTCGCTCCTGTAGCTTCCTATTGTCTGGGTTCACAATTGCTTACCGCCGGCTGCCTCTGCAGGGGCCGTCTCCCCTCCTCTCTGATCAGTCAAGCCCAAGACCTCCACCTGGCATTCAAGGTCTGCCACACAGAGCCCAGCCTCATGCCACAGGATCCCCTGCACTATCCTGGCACACCTCTCAGACAGGACTCCTCGTCACGCCCTCTGCCAGCCCATGCATCATCACTCTGTGCCTTAGCCCACCCTGCTCTCAACTCAGCTCCGCCCACTCAGATTCTACTACCATCCTTTGAGATGCACCTCCATACCTAAGAAGACTAACATTAATTAGATACACTCATCCACCAGCAATGCATGCTCAAATTTCTCCTAATGTCCTTTATAAACTTCTAAAAATGTCCTTTTTAAAAGCTTTGCTTTTATTTTTCCTGTTCTAGGATCCAATCAAGTTTCACCCATGGCATCTGTTTAGTCTCTCCCAATCTAGAACAAGGATTCTCAAGTCTTTATATCCCAGGGAGCACCCAGCACCCTGTTTGTTTGTGGGGTAGAATTATTGAAGATATAGAAAATGGCTTGATTTTGGGGTACCCGGATGGCTCAGTCGGTTAAGCAGCCAACTCTTGATTTCGGCTCAGGGTCTTGAGATCGAGCCCCACCTTGGGCTCCACACCCAGCCTGGAGTCTGCTTCAGGATTCTCTCTCTCCCTCTGTCTCTTCCCCACCCCCTTCCACCTCGCTCACTCATGCTCTCTTTTTCTAAAATAAATGAATCTTTTTTTAAAAAATGGCTTGATTTTGAGCACTTCTAAGTTTTGGGAATTTTTCTGAAAACTTTTTACTAAGACATTAGGTTAGAAAAATTAAAATAGAAAAAGGCAGTGCACTCAGTTTTGGACTCGCTTGCTATGGTTTCAGAAGAGAGATAGGATTCCTCCACCTTCACCCGAACCCTAAAATGGATCTTGGAAGGCTGAGTTAGTTAGCGCTATGTGTGTCCTCACAGTGCTTTTGCACTGTTGTTAACCATCCGGCCCATGTCTTCCTGAGCCTATTCGCCACAGACCAGTCAGTGAGTGTGCTGGGAGCCCTTCCGGCCACCACTTTGCCTGCAGTGTCTGCTCAGGCCAGAATGCCCTCCCATTCTGCCCCTGGGCCCTGGGACACTGAAGCCTGCTCCCTGCAGGCTGCTGCCCCACTCCCTTTTATCCCTGGACTTCATCGTCAAGTACAAGCAGATCGAAGAAGCCCTTGGGGGGAAAGTCTTGGGTCACCTCTTCTCAAACACTTCATCTTCCTTTTCCAAACCTGTCCCTCCCTCCTCAACCCCCACCTTCCACCCTCAACCCCCACCACTTACTATGCTCTTGTAGATGAAATTTGCCAAGGTGAGGGAAGCTGCTGACCGGAAGTACTTTCGATAATCCTTGCGGGCCTGGCAGGGACAGACGAGAAAGCAGGCAAAGTAAAGATAGACAGTTAGACCTAAAAGACAACAGATCGAGAAGAGGTTCTACTATTTCTCACCCACACAAAGAACACAGTAAGCTAAAGAGCTGACACTGTGCTAGGAGCGAGTAAAGGCAGATGAGATGGCAGAGAGGAGGGCCCTCCAAGCAGCAAGCAGAGCTCTGTTGCCAGGTCGGAGACACACCCAGGCACATGCACACATCTCCCCGGCGTGCATCCACACTCCCGGACACACACCAGCAGACCCAGAAACACACGCAGACACGCCATCACGCCACGGGAGGTCCCGCTTTCTGCTACTCTTTCCTCCCCACTGCCGACACACTCCGGGAAAAACCATGTGGCGGAAGGACCCAGGAGTCAGGAGGAAGCCCCGCTGCCCTCCCCCGTTACCTTCCACCCTCGCACAAAAGCCTGGATCAGCAATGCTGACGCCTTTATCTTCCCGTAATGTTTCTTTTGCTGCAGAAAACAATAGGCCTGTTAGGAAAAAACCCCATCTCCTGAACCACCTCTCCCGCTTCCCAGTCTCCTATTAGAGCGAGGAGGTGGGACTTGGGGGGTAACTGGTACCACGTTGCCCCGAAACCAGGCGGAGATGATGATCTGGCTCTTGCGTATCAGCTGGTAGTGGGTGCGGCAGCGCCAGCCCCGGTAGGTCTTCTGTATGAGCGTGGCCAGCTGCTGCAGTCTCAGGCGCCGCTGCTCTTCCAGGTGGAACAGCTGTGGAGAGTGGAAGGAGGGGCGGAACGGCTGGCCTGGGGGAACCCGGGCAACGGGCCTTCCCAGCCAGTGTCGTACTCATTCCTTTGTCTTAGCACCTGCACTCACTCCATGGGCACCTACTGAACTCTAACTCTGTCACGGGCCTGTGCTAGGTTTGGACACTCAGACACGAGTGGCGCATGCCTGGGACCCTCAGGCGTCCCGCTCCAGCTAGAGGCACTCAGCATGGGCCGTGCAGGGAGCCCAAGGATTCAGGTCCCGGGGATAAAGTCCCTGGCGAGAGCAGACTGCCTCACCCACCATCCACCCCCAGTTACAGATGCTCCTCTCTGCCCCAGCCTCTCACTCGTGGGCTCTCCAACCCGTCTACCTCCCACCTGCGCCAAACACAAGTGCTCCCTCCAACTCACAGTCCTGGGGCTTCTGATGAAGATCTTCGTCTTCCCAAAGACCAGCTCCTCTGAGGACAAGCTTAGCTCCTCCACAACCTTCTTGACCCCCTCCCTACAGGAACAGATGGAGAAAGCTGCCCAGGGGCATCCCAGGGAAGGGTCTTCTTTCAACTTTCCCCAACTTCTTCTACGCAGAGAAGGGTTCAGGGCTTGCACAGACTTCAGAGCCTCTGAAAAGTGAGCTTTCATTTCACCAAGTATCCATTCACAGAGCTTTGGGGATTTACATGACACTGCTCTCTCCCCGGCCCAGATGGTCCCTGCTCCCCTGTCTCCCCCAGGAGTCTTACCGGTCTCCCCCATTCCAGCGAGGCCACGTGCTCCAGCTTAGCAATTGGTACCTTTTCAGGAAGGGCCCATACCTCTGGCGGTAGGCATAGCCCGCCCGTCGCACCCGCACGTTCTCTAGCAGTCCCAGGTACCGAGTCTGGATGGCCACCAGCTCCGACGAGAACTGACCTCGCTGCTGATGCTCATTGGGCTTTATACACCTTGGGGTGGAGGGGTGCAAGGCACAGGCCTCAGGAGCTTCACCTTTGCAAGTATGACCCATCCTGGTCTCCATAACCCTATTCCGCGCACGGTCCCCTGGGTAGAAACATTTCAGAGGAAGTGAACACGCTGGCCTTCCCAGCTTCACTCACTGTAGCATGGTCCCTATCAAAGTCTGATGCTCTCCCTGCTACAGGACTCTCAGCAACTCATCTGGCTTTGTTTTTTATGAGGAAAGGGCCTCGGATACTCCTATTCCAGAGACACCCCCCCCCCCCCACAAAAGACAAGGTCTATAGTGCACGAACACTGCATGTTCATCATATACGCTGCATTTCCCTATATGCCTGGCGTGTCACCTGATGTAGTTGGGGTTTTTGGAATACAGGTTCTTCATGAGTATGGCCACAGAACTCTTGAACTGAGCCCCAGCAGTCGGGGGGCGTTTGAGAGATGCCTGCTTGGGATCTCCCTCAGGGAACAAGGACCGAAGGAGGGGGTGCCGGGCCTTCCACATGGCCTGGGACAAGTCCCGGAAGAGTAGGTCATTGTTCTTATCAATGAAGCTGTTCACGTTGTAAGTCACCTGTAGAGAAACAGCTGTTGGTCTGGAGGGCCCGTGACCCTGTCCCAGCACTTGGTGCTCCCAGTCTCAGCGTGAAGTGTTCCCAGATCTCATCACCCCACAGTTTCTCCCCCATTGCCTTCCACCCACGCCCAGCCCTAGTCTCTACCCTTCAGCCCTGCCATGTCACCTTGCCCGCATAGTGGCAGATACGGAAGCTGCTGAGGCCCATGGTGTAGTCATACTGGTGCTGGGCATTCTGGGTGACTTTGCTCTCATAGTGATTGTGCTTGGAGAAGAGCTGGTTCAGCTTCGCTAGGAAGGTGGTGTCACTGACCACCCCAGGCCGTAGGCACTCCTCGTCCAGCATGGCCAGGATGCCTCGCTGATTCTGGTCAGGGAAACAAGATCAGCCCAACCTAGCCAGGTCCTCCAACATGTCCACATTCTCACTGCTGTCCCTCTGCCGCTCACTCTTTGTCCTCTTTACCATCCTTACCAAGTGGGGCAGAGGGAGGAGGGTGGGAGAGACAGGGCAAGGATATCTAGGCAGTCTGGAAGAGGAAGGAGGTCTCAAATGAGAGAAGGATAACTCACATGCTCAATGAGGTTGCAGATAATGCCATTATCAAAGTAGTCCACCTTTGTCCATGGTATGCCCTGGCAAGAAGAGATGTGACAGGTCACAGGAGCAGGTCCAAGACCTCATGGGGCTCAGCTTCCCTTTCACCCACCCCACAAAGGACTCAGAAAGCCCTGTAGTTAAGAGGGGTGCTTGCTGTGGTTTTTGTTTAGGTCCCATTCCCTCCAAGGTTGATGGAGAATTTGTGGCGTGGGTGGCTAGACACATGGGAGGACCCAAAGCAGCTGTGAGGAAGGGGGAGATGCTGCAGAGAGCCCTGTAGGTAGCTGTGGGGTGGAGACAGAAGTGTGATATGTTGAGTAAAGGCTGCAATAGGGATTACCCCACTGTGGGAGTAGGGAAGCATCCCTGAGGATGTGGAAGAGCAAATGGCCACACTGCTCTCATGACCTATAAAACCAAAGCACATGAGCCCACCTCATCAAACAATAGACCTACCTTGATACATCTTCAAAGACCTACATCAGTGCTTCTCAAATTTGCATCACAGTCATCTGGAGGGCTTGGGAAAACAGACTGCTGGGCCCCACCCACAGGCTTTCTGATGTAGCATGGACTGGACAGAGCCCCCAGGAATCTGCCTTTCTAACACCTTCCTGGGGGATGCTGATGCTACTAGTTTGAGAACCACTAATCTACCTGATACTTTGGGATTGTATAGTTTTTGTTTTTTTTAAAGCAAGAATGGGGGCACCTGGGTGGCTCAGTCAGCTAAGCTTTTTTTTTTTTTTTTAAAGATTTTATTTATTTATTTGAGAGAGAATGAGAGAGAGCACATGAGAGGGGGGAGGGTCAGAGGGAGAAGCAGACTCCCTGCTGAGCAGGGAGCCTGATGCGGGACTCAATCCAGGGACTCCAGGATCATGACCTGAGCCGAAGGCAGTCGCTTAACCAACTGAGCCACCCAGGCACCCTCAGCTAAGCTTCTGACTCTTGGTTTCAGCTCAGGTCCTGATCACCGGGTAATTGGTTCTGTGCTCAGCATGGAGTCTGCTCAAGATTCTCTCTCCCTCTGCCCTCCCTCCCCTGCACACATGTGTGTGCGCACTCTCTCTCTCTCTCAAATAAATAAATCTTTTTTTAAAAAGATTTTATTTATTTATTTGAGAGAGAGAGAAAGTGAGAGCATGAGTAGGGCAGAGGGAGAAGGAGAAGCAGACTCCCTGCCAAGCAGGCAGCCCAATGTGGGGCTCGATCCTAGGACCCTGGGATCATGACCTGAGCCAAAGGCAGACACTCAACCGACTGAGCCCCCCAGTCACTCCAATAAATAAATCTTTTTTAAAAAAGGCAAGAATGATACAGAAGAAGACCCAAAGATAATTGTTCCCCACTTTAGGGCTAGCTGCAGGCGGATAGCTCCTGGTCCCACCCAAGGGCCAGCCCTCCCAGGCTCAGGCCATTCCCAGGTGTGGGGATGTGGCTGGGGAGCACAAGCCTCTCTCTCTCTTTAGGGATCTTTAGGAAATTGCAGATCTTTAGGGAACGCAGAGTGGAATTAAGTAGAGTTGTCCTCCTACTTCATCCCCGATATACCTTCCCCAACTAGTTAAATGAAGTATGATATCCTTACAATCCTATGTAGCTATAAAGATGCTTCTTTATATACCGATATGGAAAGATCTCTTATTAACTGATGAAAGCAAGATGTAGAGCAGAGTGTATGCACTGCCACTTGAATAAATTCTGTGGGAAAACGTAATTATAGATTTGCTTGATTACACATAAAAGACCTCTGAAAAGGGCCCCTTCATTTGCCTCTAGATGGGAGGAGTACTAGGAGGCTGGGGACAGGCTGGGAGGGAACCCTTCTTTATACGCTTTTTAAAGTTTTTTGAATTTTGAAGCATGGGAATGTGTTCTCTATTTGATCATTAAATTTTTAAAATAAAAATATACAAAACAACTAAAAAACAAAAACCTTTCCCACACATTATGACTGCATTGCCTGAAATTCTGCCACAGCAGATTCCTGAGGGCTCACAGGCAGCATCCCTGGGAGGGTTTTGATGAGTGAGACTGTGAGCCATTCACACTTTGGGGTGGATTAGCTCAATCAGATAGCTTTTCTAACACCTAGCCATAGAAACAAGGGTTCTCGCCAAACAGGGGAAGGAGTGTGGAAATGTTGAGCCATGGGGCACTTCTGGGGAGGAAATCTGGGATGAGGGTGCCACAAAAGGGGACCGTGACATCGGCCAGGGCCTGAGGAGACAAAGAATTCTGAGACGTTAGAGAAGAGCATCAAAAGGGATGTGGTAGGGTGACGAGGCCAGGAGAAATGTCCCTTCTAAATCTGGTTCACAGTGCGCTGCAGGCCACACACAGCTGTCCCCCCACCCTTGTGAGGTCTCCCCGCCACACACACACCCTTCCATCGGTCTACCCCTTCCTTGCGTGGCCTGGGGTGGGAGCAGGGGGCCTGGGGGCTGGAGAGCAAAGACCAGGGCTTCTTGGGAAGGCTGGACTGTTCACCTGGGCAAGGGAAACTTTTTGTGCTTTGTGTTCCCATCTGGGGACAAGTAAGAGGAAATTGTGATGGAGAGAAAGGACAGATCGGGCATGTGCCCAGAAGCAATTTCCAAGAGGGTAGGTGGGGGAAGGCTGAGCGCACCTCTCTCTCATATTCTTCTTGCTCCTCTTTCAGCGTCACCTCGATGAACACCTGCTGCAGCTTCTCGTTGCAATAGTTGATCACAAACTGCTCAAAGCTATTATCCTGAGGGAGGGGACCCGGGGCAGAGAAGGGGCAGCTCAGCCCAAATCTCTTCCTGCCTCTCAGCCCTACACCTTCCCTCTCCCAACCCGCCCCCCTACCGCCTTTGAGCCTACATGCCCCAACCCTAGGGAAGCAGGGTGCTGCAGGTGGATGAAGCTCTCACCTCTAGAATTTCAAAGCCGTAGATATCCAGGACCCCCATTACCTTCTTCTTCTCCCCAGTGCCCACCTGAAGAGGAGGAAAAGATAAATCTGAGGACGGGCCTCCTCTGCATACCAGGCCAGGCCCTTCTCGGGTGGAGGTGACCGGAGCAGAGGGCAAACAGAACTCTGGTGAGCTTGACCATGCTGGGAAAGAACTGTCGTGAACTCCTTCCTCCTCTACATGCTAGAGGACAAGCAGAGGGAGGGAGGGAGAAGGGAGATGTGAACAGATTCCAGGCTGGTGCTCCGATGGAACGAGGTAGGAAGACATTAAGATCCTCTCAGGAAAATAATCATCTCTTAGATTTGTAGAGCATTTTACAAAAAATTCTACGCTCTTACTTCATTAAGCCTCACAATAACCCTAGAAGGTGTGATTATTCCCATTTTACAGATGAACAAATCAAATTTCAAAAGGGCTAAGCACTTATCCAAACCTAGATTCAAATCCTATTTTCCCCTGCTGTCTTTCAGTAATAGCTTCTGAATTGATGGCATTTTCATGTACAAAAATTTTGAACAATAGCTCCATTTTGATCTAACTCACATTCCATAAAATTTACCCTTCAAAGGTGTACGATTCAGTGGGTTTTTTCCAGTATATTCAAAAGGTGTATGACTATCACCACTACCTAATTCCAGAGCATTTTCATCATCCCCAAAAGAAATCTTGTACCCATACCCATTAGCAGACACTCCCCCTGCCCCTCCCCCGACCCCAAGCCCCTGTTAACCATTAATCTACTTCCCATCTCCATGGATTTGCCTATTCCGGACATTTCATATAAATGGAATCATACAAAATGTGGCCTTTTGTGTCTGGCTTCTTCCACTTGAATGTTTTCAAGATTTGTCCAAGCTGAGCATGAATCAGTACTTCGTTCCCTCTTATGGCCAAATAGTACCCCATTGTATGAATATACCACATTTTGTTTATCCTTTCACCAACTGATGGACATTTGAGTCGTTTCCACTTTTTGGCTAGTATGAATAATGTCTCTCTGAACTTTTGGGTACAGGTTTTTATGTGGACATTTGTTTTCAAATCTCTTGGATATATATCTGGGAGTGGAATTTCTGGTTATATGGTAACCATGTACGTAATTTTATCCAATCCTCACTAAGCCCTGTGAAGCAGGTAGGCATGAATGTCCAATTTTCCAAATCAGGAAACTGAGGCTCAGAATCTCTGTGAAATGAAAAGGCCACACAGCTGGTAAGTAGGGGATCCAGAGAGTCAAACTCAAAAACCAGAGATGTTTCCACAACGACACACTATTGGAAGGAACTGAACCCTACCCTTCATCCTTCTTCCTCTGCTCATCTCAGAACCCAAAGTACGGGGATGGTGACCAGGGCAAGAAAGGTGATGCAGACAGGAGAGAGTTGGGGGAGGAGAGCCATCTCTCACCTTGATACTCTCATTGATTCGATTCACTATCCAGTTGAAAAGGCGGCTGTAGATGTTCTTGGCCAGAGCATCGCGAGCATACTGAGCCTGTAGGGCAGGGCCAGCTGGTTAGGATGGCAGCCACAGAAGAGTCCCCAAGTCAGCCTCCTCCCATAGAGCCTTTACCTGAATGACATTCAGTGCAGTGACCACCTTTTCTTTGGCTGTTTTCATGGTCCTTGAGCACAAAGCTTTCTCTAGTTCCTCTGAATTCAAACCTATCATTTCCCCAATCTCCTGAATACCTGGAGTGAGGAGGAAACACAACATGGCCTGAAAGAGGGCTTTCCTCCTGGGGAGGGAGGGCTGAGAATTGACACTGCTAGGAGATGGGTGTCCCTGGGTCTTGCTGGGGATGTCCTTACAGCCCATCCAGGACATGGCCCAGGAGGAATCTCTTGGCGGGGAGGAGGAGGAGAGAGGGAGCTCTGGACACTTTGAATGCATTATCTACTTTAATAGGAGAATCTCCTGAAATTCTTTGTAAAGGCTCCACTGAGATTCAGAGAGGTCCCAGAATCTAGGTCTATCAAACTTCATAACCTCATTCCAAAATGTCTCACTGGGAATTCTCCATGGGTGTGTTTGGGGAAGAACTCGGGAATGGGCTGAGTAGGACTGAATCAGAGTGGAGTCAGTTACACAGGAGATGGTGGAAGAACAGGAATTGTAGTAGGAGACTGAGGAGCAGCTTGGGGGCACCAACAGGGCGGTGCAGACCTCTCCCATCCCGGATGCCACTTGCTGATATCCCATTGGCCTGGAACTCGTCTGCCAGCTCCACGTTCCCCAGCTTCAGCACGAGGGCCGTCACCTCGAGCACCTGTTGAATCTCCTCCTCCGAGAAACCAATCACAGTCATTGCACTCTTGAGGAGAGAGCAGAAATCAGAAGCTGAACAGTGGTGCTAGTTCAAAGCCTCCCTTCTCAAAGCCAAAGCCTGGGCTCAAAGGATGACCTAATGGCCCACCCTGGGCACCCACCTGTACAGCCTTGAAGTTGGAGGCGTCATCCATGCCGTCAACTCTGGACACTTTCTGGTTTAGGAAGGCATAGCCACTTGCGTCCCGCTCAAGCTTCAGGGCCTCTGGGAGGGCCAGTGTGAGGGAAGAGGTTTAGTACGCAGGCTCTCACGAGTCCTCTGGCCTTGACTCTCACAGCCCCTGCCCCAGCTTGGTTTACTCATTAATTCAAAGGAGCCATTTTTGTTTTAGGCTCTTCCCCTGCCTCCTTTGTTTGGGGATCATGAATTCCCATGATGATAGACTAAATTTTTAAGCAGTATTTAGGGTTTGGGTGTTCTTTTTTTTTTTTAAGATTTTATTTATTTATTTAATTGACACAGAGAGAGAAAGAGACAGTGAGAGAGGGAACACAAGCAGGGGGAGTGGGAGAGGGAGAAGCAGGTTTCCCACTGAGCAGGGAGCCCGATGTGGGGCTCGATCCCAGGACCCTGGGATCATGACGTGAGCCGAAGGCAGTCGCTTAACCAACTGAGCCACTCAGGCACCCCGGGTTTGGGTGTTCTTAATTGTTGGGTTTCTTTCCAACTCTTATGAAAGAAAAATCTCATTCCACTCCTCGTCCCACCCTCAGGGTTCTAAACAATGAAAACAAACAAGCAAACTATCTGTCCTGCTCAGTTCTCAGTGGCTCTGAGAGGACAAAGGTGAGGAAAGAAGGGCGAGCACATATCTCCCACCCACCCTGAGCCTCAACACCTCACCCTTGGCCAGGGTTGGCCCATTCATTGTTCGTTCACTAAGTACCAACAAAGTGGCAGGTGCTATGTTCCCCAACCCTGACCCCTCTTCTGAAAGCTTTTCTCTGACGTTGTGGGGCTGAGCCAAAAGGCTCTCTTGTGTTCCCCCCATGGTGAATCTCTATCCCAGCCCATAACACACGGGCTAGGTTTTGTTTTTTTCTATCTCTCCCACAAATGAACAACTCGTGTGTTGGGACTGTTTTTCATCTTCATATCCTGTGTGCCTGGCTGGCATATAAAAACTTTTTTTCTTTTTAATAAATGAATCAAGAGAATGGCTGAAGCTGTTCACCTGAGATGGGAAGGAGTAGGTTAAGCATAGAGCTTGAGGGATATCAATGATCTGTTATTCACATGATCTGATAATCAGGGAATGGCCCTCAAACTAGAGTGTAATGGCAGCTTCCCCTGAGACACAAATTTTGAAGCAGGAACCTGCTAAAGAGGGGTGTCTGGACAAAGAATGAGTCAGAAAGGCCCTGGGGTGATGACACCAGGGAGGCCTTGCTCAGACTTAGCTTAAATCAATGGGTGACAGAATCAACCAGAACAACATACTAGTACCTATGATTCAGACAAACTGAGAACAACCAAGACTACTGAGCCAGGAAGGAATAATGAGAGTTGCAGGGGCTCTTGAACCATGGAGATCCCCCAGGAGGGGAAAGGAAAGGGGCACAAGTCCAGTGGAAAACAACCAGAAACCAAAAGGACAGGTCCTTGGGGGCCAGATACCCACAGTGCTCACAGCTAGAGGCAGGATTGGGAGGCAAACTCTGGCAAGGCCTGAAGTCACACCAGACTCCACAGTGATGCCCACCCAGAGCCACCTCGGGCCCACTCCAGGGCTCTCTGGGACAAGGCAGAGTGCTCCATGACTTTGCTCCTACAGCCACTGGCACAGGCCTGTTGGCACCAATCACACTGTATTTTGCAGTGTTTCCATTCACGTATCTGCCATCCCTAGAAGACCATAAGTTCTCCAGGACAGGGTCCATGTCATCTTACTCAACTCTGCATCGCTAGAGGCCAGCACAATGTTCGATCATAGTAGGTGTTCAAGAGATGTTTGATGAATGAATAAGTGGAACCTCCATAAAACCATCTAAGAAAAGTGAATCAAGGACAGGGCCTGGGTGAGGCAGATGTAGACCCAGAACAACTTCAACTACTGCTCATCAAACATTCTTGAACACTTAGAATATCCTGTTGGATTTTCTGCTGAGCTATCGATAAAGTCCCTTAAATTGAAGATAGGAAAGAATGATAGATGGAAATAAGTGTTCCATTTTTGAAGCTAGCCTGGGGAAGGAGGAACCCAAGCAGGACAGAGGAATAAGAGCAGGTCAAGAGGCCAGAAGATTTATTCCTAGCAATACAATCCCAGAAAAAGAAGAGAACACAGAGGTTGGGGAATTGTTCCCAACAATGAGTGGATGAGATTCAGAGTGAGAAATGCAGAAAGAAGAAGCCTGAGGGCTACAGGGGCCCAGAGGAGACTGAATGGAGGTTGGGGATCTTCTGCCATGTGTCTGGGACAGGCACATACTCAGCAGGTGGGCTTCTGCACCGGCCAGCAACTGATAGAAGATGTGGAAGTTCCTTTCTCCTTCAAGCTGCTTCACCACTCGGGATTTCTCCAGCAGATCTGGCAGGGAATTAGAAAATAACATCCTGAGGGGCAGGGAGACACCAAAGCTTCCCTCTAAGTCTGCTCCCAGGGCTTGGGCAGTCTCCTGGTAGCCTACTATTCCTTCCTATGGTAGTAAATCAGCAGAAAGGGACACCGTGGGACAGGAAGGAGGGAGAGGTGGTGAGCAGAATGGGGAGACACTTTCGGGGTGCCTGGGTGTCTCAGTCAGGTTAAGCGGCTGCCTTTGACTCAGGTCATGATCCCAGGGTCCTGGGATCAAGACCCTGCGTTGGGCTCCCTGCTCAGCAGAGAATCTACTTCTCCCTCTCCCTCTGCCCCTCCCCCCTGCTTGTGCACATGCGCTCTCTCTCTCTCAAATAAGTAAATAAAATCTTAAAAAAAGAAAAAACAAAGAATGGGGAGACACATACAGTTTGTGATGACGCCACCGAGGGGGGACCCCTTGAAGTCGAACTCAATGTCCATGTATTTTCCCTTCAGAGACCAGAGGGAGAGAGAGAGAGAGAGACTTTGCTTCCTCCTCTTCTCACCGCCCTGCCCAGCAGGGGTCTGTGCCCCATTCCTCCTTCTCAAGCCCCCACACCCTCTCCTCCCAGGCCAGGGAGATGGTCACTCACAAATCGAGAGGAGTTGTTGTTGCGGATGGTCTTGGCATTGCCAAAAGCTGCAGAGATGGGGAGAGGGAGGTGAGGAGACTGAGGGGAGAAGAGGGGCTCTGGAGAAGGGGAAGGAGGAAGGTCTTCCAGCCATCATGCCAATCTCAGATTTTTCAGGCTGAACGAAAACAGGGTAAGAGGGTGTAGGGCTGAGTGTCTCTGGGGCCAGTCGGGTGGGGTGGGGGTGCAGAGGAGGTAGAGACTGGAATCCTCACCCTCCAGCACTGGGTTTGACTGAAGCAGCTGCTCCTTTACAGAGTTCACCTGCTCTCCTTCCCCACAGACAGCGGCCACATAAGACATCACCAGCTTACTAGCCTCTGTGTAAGAGAAACCATCACGTGGATCCCTCCGCCCTTAACTCCCCTTAAGTCCAGCACCTCCCATCCCTCAGAAGCAGAAAAACCGGGGAGAAATTTCTGGGGTGGGGGCAGGACCAGCCTGGCTTGGGAAGAGAGGAGGGGGTGGCTCCAGCAGTGACCCCACGGCCCCCCCCAGCAGGTGCCTCACCAGTCTTGCCGGCTCCACTCTCGCCTGTTATGAGGATGCACTGGTCTTGGTCTCGGTCCCTTAGTGACTGATACGCCATGTTTGCCAAAGCATAGCTTGGAGGGGAGGAAGCAGGTGATGACTAAGGTGGGGCTAATCCAAGACATCATCTTTCACTCCATCTCCGGCCCCCAGAGTCATCCGCCCTCCTTGGACTAGACTGAGGCAAGTGGTAGGTCTAGGAAGGGGCTTCCTGGGGCCAGGGGTGGGGGGGTGGAACCTGGAGAGCCTCCTTTAGGAGAAAGGATAGAGGAAATTAGGGTGTCTGGCTGTCAGGAAGTGGGGGCCCTGTCAGCCTTCCCTCAGTCCCTTTACTTACATATGGGGCTTCAGCTCATAGAAGGTATAGTCCCGGTATTTGGCAATGAACTCCGGGCCATAGATGGGCAGCTGTTGGTAGGGATTCACGGAGATCAACACATTCCCAATGTAGGTCTGGAGGCAAAAAAGGTAAAGAGAATGAGCAGGGGTGGGGGTAGGGGATGCTGAGAGGGGGAGGAAGGAGTGGGATCACAGGACCTCTCTGGCCACACACCCACAGCCAGGGGCACCCGTATGCACTCACATAAATCTCTTTCTTCTCATAGCGCAGCTCGAGGGTCTTGAGAAGAGCCTCCTGCTCCAAGGGTTCCAGGAGCACCAGGTCCTCCAACCCCACGGCGCCTTCCAGAAGAGTCATGTCCAGAGGAGCTACTGGTCCTGGGAATAAGGGGTCAGTTGGCTGGCTGAAGTCTGCTCAGCTTCAGGGGTCAGTAACTGTGTGAGGGGAAGAGGGCAGAAGGATCTAAGACAGCCTTCCCCTCCAACTCCTGGCCCTAGAGATGGTCCTCAACACAGGGAGTCCTCTGGACTAGCCAAAGCTAACTGCGGGAAGCTGTGGGAACTCTCCCTGAGTGGGGAGGATCCCCTGCTTCTGGGGTTAGGGCTGGTGGGGGTGGGGCAGGACCACCTGCCTTTGACCAGGGTAAGGAAGGCACCCAGCAGGCAGTGACTGGGGGGTGGGGAGTGGGGGGGTTGGGGAGCACAGTTGTGTTTGCAGGAGAGCAGCCTGGGGAAGAAAGGGTAAGCTCTGGAGGCTCGCTCCCTCCTGCACCGAGGTCCTGGCCAGGGTCCAGACTCCTTGACCTTCTCCCCCAGTTCTCCTTCTCTCCTACCTCTCGCAACCTCTAGTTAAGTCACCGGGCCCACCCACACCCAGCATGAACATTCTTCCGAAGGTCCCTCTCATTGCCACAGTGAGATTCATCGTCTAAAGGGGGGCTGGATGAGGTGATTGGTGAGTAAGAGGACAGAGGCAGGAGCTCCTCCATAAAAGATTAGAATACCCCAAATAAAAGTGAGGTTGGTTTCTGCCACATCAAGTAGCTGTCACGATCTCCGGAGGTGCCTACACATCTGTCCCTATTTTTCCATCTCCAGCTTTTACACCCATTGCTGTAACCTTCCGGCACGGACTTTGCCTCAGAGGGACACACCCAGCTTTTTAGTAGCTGGTGGGAGTGGGCAAGGAGGAGCAGAATTATTGTGGGGCTCAGCCCCATGCAGAGGGCACATGGCAGGTGCAACCTCAGGAGGAAGCCCAGCCCTCCTCAGTCTTTCCTGTGGGACCGAGTAGGTGGGGTGGCCTGGTGCAGAACAGAATCATTAGTACAATGGTCAGGGCTACTCCCTAAAAGGAATAAAAAAGCCACATCTCCTAGTCTCCAGCAATGCTCAACCTGGGCGGGGGAGGGGAGGGAAGCAGAGATGGAAGTTTGGGCCAGAGGGGAACATAGGCTGACTTCAGCCTTCACTCTGCTTTCCCCACGTTTCAGAAAATGAGAGCGCTTGTCACTTCCTGGAAGGACACAACTGAGAGAGCAGTAAGAATAGTGACACTAGCAATCTCTAACAGTCAGGTACCACGGGCCACGCAGGGCTCCAAACACTATATACACGAAATCATTTGGTGCTTACAAACAATATCCTCATGAAGTACGTACTATTATTATCTCCATTTTCCAGATTAAAAAAACTAAAGTTTTTAAGTGACTTGGCAGGCAGGGGTGAGCAGCAGAAGCAGGGCTGGAGAAAGGCATATTCTTTGGATTTGGATTTGAGGGGAGTGGGAATGTGACAGGTCGGGGGGTGGGAGAGGGAAAAAGGAAGCACTCCCCAGATAGGGCACCCCTGGATGTGCAGAGCAGTGATAGGTCAAGGCAAGACTCACCCAACACTGGAACTAGGGTGTACTTCAGTGTCCCTTGGAGAAAGTGAATGAAATCCCAATTTGACAGGAAGGGGGCATAGGAGTCCCAAGGCCCGAAGGGTGGAGAGGTGTCTTCGTTAACGGGAGCTGTCCATGGTGTCTGAGGGGCCAGGAAAGAGGTTGCCCTCCTCTTGCCAGTGTCCACTCTTCTGACCTTCCACTGTGCTGCCTCCTCTAGCCAAGTCTCCCTGTGCCAGTCAAGTCAGGAGAGGCCAGAGACGGCAGCTCAGCACAAAGTCCGAGGCTGTTCCTGCTGAGGGTGTGGCTCGATTAACCCTTCCCAGGCTGGATGCCCCAGAGGGAGATGCTCAGTCATATGAGAAAGCCCCCTCTAGGTAGGAAAGGGTATCTGGCTGGGCTTAGCTGAGGGGCTCAGGTAGAGTTCTTGCTCCACTGCCCCCCAAATTTGGAAATAAGAGCAGGAGTGGAATTAATAGCCAAGGAAAAGCTTTTCTAAAAAGTCAGGAATTTTTGCCAAAGAGGAAGGCAGGCTGGGGTGTCTTCCCTAGCAAAGAAACAGTACTTCCCTCAAACCTACCTATCTCATTGGGAGTCAGAGGGTATCAATGATATTACTTGGGGAGCTAGGCAGACAAAATCCCCAAATTCCCTCCCCCCCCATGGGTCAGCCCCCACAAACAGACCCGAAGGCTCTAGTTAGTAATACCACCTGGCATTTGTATGGATGCCAGTTTCATGGACTCCCCACCTGTCTCATCTCACTGAATCACACCATCCTGTGAGCTAAGCAGTGCAGCTACTCACTGCATTGAAAAGGACAATTAGAGGCAAATACTGAGGTTCCACAGACAATACATGTTAGAACCAGGAACAGAATGTAGCTTCCTGACCCTAAGTCTCCCATAGGTTTCAGCCCAAGTCTTGGTATTTCTGGTTTTCATCCTTCTGGGTGAGGAACGTGAATGAGACCCTGAGATGCTGCTTCCTGGGCACCAGCCCAGCTGAAAATAACCACCCCCAATAGATAAGAGGCTTATGCAATCCTGTTTTCCAGGATACCCCCTCATCCACCCAGGAAAATTCCTGAACAACAGGCTCCCTCTGCCCACCATCCTCTCTCCCAGGCACGCACAAAGAGCACACTTAACTGAAGACAGACTCCATCCTCTAACTCCCAGCCACAGCTGCTCGGTTCAAGGTCCAAACTCTACTGCTCTCACAGAAGCACTCTGCATACGCCTGGCCCATCAGCAATTCCATTATCAACCTGCCTTTACATGATTTATTGATCTACTATATATATATCCGAAGGGAGAGAAAAAGGCAAGGGAAAGAGAGAGCAAGCAAGCCAAGCGGAAGTGCCATCAGCACACAATCCCAGATATACACAGAAGCAGCATCCGGATCAGAGGCAGAAAGGACCACAGATCCTGTCTTTTGTGTGGAGGAAACAGACCTAGGGTGAGAAGCCACCTTCCCATGGTGTGATCCTGGGAACCCAGGTCTGGAACCCAGGTCTCCTGTTCTCCAGGCCAGGAATCTGCAGCCACCCACAGTGTGGGGTTTATCTGTGTGTCGACCCACTCACTTGCTGTCTGAGTGTCTCCTATGTGCTCACACAAGAGAAGGGATTCTAAAATGAGATGGCATCCTCAGGCGAGACACAATGGAATCAACATCACAGCTGGGGTGACCCACCATCCTAGTTTGTCTGGGACCTAGGATGAGTCCTCTGAACGTGGGAACTTGACTACTAAAACTAGGAAGGTTCTGGCCACACTGGGATGAATGGGTCACTCTAAATTAATGAGGTACAAATACACATCCAAGTTCGTGGCGATTTCAAGATCTGTCAAAGCATTCCAGGGATGAGAGGAGGCCTGGGGGATGCAGGACTGGGATCTGATCCCAGGTAAAACTCAAGTAACTGGAGCTGACTGGTCTTTCTCCATCATGACTCTGAAATCCCCTTCCTCTTCTCCCCATTAACATTTCTAGTCTGTATAAGGGGCATGAGGGAACTTTGGGGGTGATGGAAAAGCTCTAGATCATGACTGCAGGAGTGGTTACACAACTGTCAATTAACTCTTTTTGTCAAAACTCAGCAAAACTTAAAACAAATATTGTACCCCAAGTGCCCCAAGTATATTCATTTTAAAAAGATGCTACACAATAAAAACACAGAAGTTTTCAGATATGGTGAAGATGTTTGGTGGTAGAGGGTCTTCTTGACTCTCACAAATTATTTGGTGTCAACTAGTAACATTGATCAAATACTTACTATGTGCCAGGCAACAAGCTTAAGTGTTTTACATCCTTGATATTCAAAGTGAGGTCCACACCCCATATCTGAATCACCTGGGAGTTCATTAGAAATCCAGAATCTTGGGGCGCCTGGGTGGCTCAGTCGTTAAGCGTCTGCCTTCAGCTCAGGTCGTGATCCCAGGGTCCTGGGATCAAGCCCCACATCGGGCTCCCTGCTCAGTGGGAAGCCTGCTTCTCCCTCTCCCCCTCCCACTGCTTGTGTTCCCTCTCTCGCTGTGTCTCTCTCTGCAAATAAATAAATCTTAAAAAAAAAAATGCAGAATCTTGGGCCTCAACCCAGACTTATTGTATCAGAAGTCTGAATTATTTTTTTTTTTTAAAGATTTTATTTATTTGAGAGAGAGACAGAGAGAGCACAAGCAGGAAGAAAGGCAGAGGGAGAGGGAGCAGATTCCCCGCTGAGCAGGGAGCCCGATATGGGGCTGGATCCCAGGACCTGGAGATTGTGACCTGAGCCGAAGGCAGACGCTTAACCATCTGAGCCACCCAGGTGGCCCTAGAAGTCTGCATTTTAACAAGCTTCCCAGATGATTCCTACGCATGTTCAAGTTTGAGAAGAACTTCTTCACACTTATTCTTTTTTTATCCTTACTAAAACCCTATGATGTTGCATACCTAGCAATAATGCTTTTTTATTAATTCAATGATTTATAATCACCTCCATCTCTTATTTACCTAGTATAGTTATAGAAGGGAGAGGAGAGGGGCGCCTGGGTGGCTCAGTCGTTAAGCGTCTGCCTTCGGCTCAGGTCCTGATCCCAGGGTCCTTGGATCGAGCCCCGCATCGGGCTCCCTGCTCCGCGGGAAGCCTGCTTCTCCCTCCTCCACTCTCCCTGCCTGTGTTCCCTCTCTCACTGTGTCTCTCTCTGTCAAATAAATAAATAAAATCTTTAAAAAAAAAAAAAGAGGGGAGAGGAGAAAAGATGCCATTAGTGTGCATTCATCTACATAAATTTACATATGATCTCCTCCTGATTCTTCCTGTTTCACAGACTGTCTGAAAAATGGACAATAGATTTCCATGTAGTCTAAATAACTGAGAAGAGAGGACACAGGCAGAGAATTAATGCAAATGCTGTAACGGATCCCCAGAGCAAAGGAAATAGCTAAAACATAAAAGAAAATGGAAGGTACCAGACTCCTCCTACAGAAGCCAGGCCTACACATAATTGAAGTTTTTATTCCATGGCCCCTAATACTCACTACAGCCCCGCCCCCTCTCTCTCTACACAAAGCTCTTGGCAGAAACCCCACAGTTGGATCCACAGGTCTTCCCCTCACCCCAGTGGAGAAACAAAAGATATTTTTTAAGAAAAGGAAGAAGTAGGGGCGCCTGGGTTGTTCAGTCAGTTGAGTGTCCGACTCTTGGTTTCGGCGCAGGTCATGATCTCAGGATTGTGAGATTGAGCCCCGAGTGGGGCTGTGCACTCAGTGGAGAATCTGCTGGAGATTCTCCCTCTCCCTCTGCTCCTCCCCACTGCTCATGCTTTCTGTCTAATAAAAATAAATTAAAAAAAAAAAAAGAAGAAGAACTAAAGCACAATCGGAGTAGCTCCCTGGACTAGGAACAGCCTATACGTTTTTTCCCTGTGAGACAGCATGGTCGTACAACCTGTGACTCCTGCAAGAATACCCCTTCGAGATCTGGCATGCTGGGAAATCATCCAGGCCAAGGATGGAAGTAGACCAAGGCAGACCCAGGGTGGGGAGTGGTGGTTAAGAAAAAAAGGAAAATAGATGGCATGCAACACCATCTCATCAAAAAGATGAAACTTAGAAGCTAATTGCCTCAAGAGATCCAAATAAGAAAAGTACACGTTCATTAAGAGAGACCACTATATAGTCTATAAAACTTTATTAAAATTGGGATTACTTACAAACTTGTACAATAAAAATGAAAAAATATATAATAAGACATTGTTATTTTTTCTTACAGAAAAGAGCGAAAATGAGACCCATGGCAAAGAGCCATCCCTGATCGTTTTGTTCCTTTCAAACATTTGTGAACATTTATTTTAAATATAAATGACAAATCTTTTAAAACAACACTAAGGCATTACCCACAGGCTAAAACTTACCCAGGAATTCCTTAGCCCAGCTATTTCACCATCAATTCCACAAACATGGGAAACTGAGGCAATGGCAGGCTGTAACAGTTCTAATACTCACATTATGAGCTCTCTAGTATACTAAAGTGATGTGAAGGCCGCCCATACCGCAGCAAAGTTCAGAGAAGATGATCCACCATTTTCAAGTTACTGTCAAGGGTGTGAAGAGGAAGATGACACACACTGGCAGGGGATGGGGAGACAAAAGTCCCAAATCTGGGGGAGGCTGTGTGTGTGCCACTCCCACTCCCCACTAAAGCTTATGTGTACTGATGTGGACATGAATCTGCTTTGTTTATTCCTAGCAGGCACTGGCTCCCATCACATAAGGCACCAAACACCTTTTCAAGGTAGTAACAACCATCTAGAATCCAACTCAACAGCAACTAGGTCCATAAGCTAAGTTACCAAGAGATACCACTGGATCACCATAACTGCATAGGTTTCCCTAAACATAATAATCAATTTCTGCTACATCAAAACATAAACAAGAGGTTTTACGTGCATTTGCCTTGTGCAAATGGCTATTTTATATGTTTATTACTTGGCTTCAGTGCCTATGTAACATGAAGGCATAATAAATCTGTCAAACGGTCCTCTCCTTGGTTGAGATAAAGTTCTTGGCATTTCAATATAGGTTATTATCTCATATGTCAGACCTGAGTCCAAAGGAATACTAGAAGGACATTTAATTTCCTTTCCTCCTACTTCAACTTTCACTATTCAATTCAGAGAAAAGTTATGAGTAAACAGCTAAGAACCATTTTTATGCAGGCATCCATCTGAGCCCATCTTTTTTTCTGGAACAAAAAGATTGAGGGCAATTGCATAATCCATTTCCAAGCTTTTTATGGATATCAGGGACAGGGAGGACTATCTGGCCTATTTGGGTCCTTTCATTCATCAGATCTCTAACGTATATGCCAGGTGGGAATTGGGTTGAAGGGAACACAGTAACACAGTCAGTGAAGAGAGGGCTAGGCCTTGAATGGGATGTATCAGCACAAAATAGAACACTGGGACCCAAAGACTATGATTAGCAACCCCTCCCCTTTGTAATAGACATAAAAGGCCTGGACCTGGGAGGAGAAAATAAACTAGTTTTGGTGGGATGAAGTGGCTGATAGGACTTTCTTATTAGAAGACATCCAAGTTGCTAAACTGTCCTTATTTTTGGTGATTGGTTCCATTGGTCTCGTGAAAGCAATCTGAGTGGGAAAGTGGAGGGGAAATGTTTTAGGCCAGCTGGCTCTCATATTCCCATTAATGGCAGTCATGCTCTACATAACTTGGTCAGACCAATTAGAGGTGATAGATTTCCAATGCTGAAGAGACCCTGTGCCCTAGGGCCAATTTACAGCTTGATATTTGCAAGCAAGATGCTGACATGGCAGCAGACATGGCTCCGATGTCCAGCTCACTCCATGGTTATCCCCTCAATCCTTTTTGATGAGATCAGTTGGAGAGATGAGACTATGCTGAATCGCAAGAGCTGTAACTGCCAGAGAAAATTAAGTGGGGGCTTCAAGTAGTGACTGAGCCAGCAGACGAAGTGGCCAAGAAGGAGACAAGAGCAGCCCCCGAAGAAGGCTTATGGCGTCAAGCGATCTGCGGGCACTTGGAGGCTCTGAAGCATCTGGAGCAGAGCAAGGCCACACAGCACACCAAAGGCACCCTCGTCCTTCCCGGTCTCAGAGAAGCTGTCACGCTGCAGGACCCACGGTCACCTCCACTGCCTACAGCTCAGGTCTCCCACTACAGACACGGAGTAATAAACGGAGTTTGATCTTACTTGCCCCAAGTTCAAACACGGTAAAAAAAAAAAAAAAAAGTGGTCTGGAGGTGGAAACGAGATTTCACAAGGAGTTTAACGAAACAAAAAAAGAGGAGACTCTCTCCCTGCTTCACAGTGCTTTCTCACTGAGATAAAGATAAGAGGCAGGGCAGGGAAAGTCACCTGGAGGCAAGCCACCACCTCCCAAACGAGCTTTCTGGGGGAAGGCACCAAAGTCTCCGGGTAATCCTAAGACCACCTGTACAGATGAATTATTTTACAGTTCTCTGCAGAGGGATAAAATTTGACCACGTACATAATTTACAAAGGCATAAAGGTTTCCCAATATAAAGCTCCTTTGCCCTGCAACTTTAACCCACAGCATCTGACCAAATACTGTGTTTCCACTTTCTACTGTATGTGTATTTGCTGCCAACTGAGGCAGGAGCCACTTTTGGACAGTTTAAAGCTGTGGAAAACACTGGTGGTAATAATCAACTGGCCACCTGGAGGGGAGTCTCAGAGCTGACATTTTGGAAGTTGGCAATGAGCCCAGGGCCTTTCAAGATTATCTGCTAAGTGGCTGGTCTGAAGGAGTCATTAGTTTTATAAAAAATCATCTGCCGTCTCCATGATCACAGTACACCAGTGAGCCTGATGCTGTGCTCCGGCCGTCAGGGCCTATATCCCTGGCTAGAGTCATTATAGCCTCTTCCAAAGTACGGGGGTGAAGATCACCAAGACAGAACCAAGCAAATGACGGAGACTTGGGAATTTGCTCCCTCATAAATGACACTGCTGGTTTATAAGGGTACTTTCCAATGGCAAAAGAATCTGGAACTAATGCCACTGTAATAAAAGGCAGCATGAATCTCTAGTCAGAAATGGAACTGCAAATAAGTGTACTAAATGCACAGAAAACTGTGATCCTGAGAGGTGAATGAACACCCAGAGGCATGAAGATAACCTGGAGGTCTATTTCGTGGCAATGCGGACTGTGGCCGTTACAAAGCTACAGTTTTATGTTGCATCAAGGAAACGTCCCAGATAGTCTCAGGGCTTACAAAGTAGCCATATGGGGGGGGGGGGGAGTACAGGTGGTAAGGAGAGGCTGAAAAGAAGACGCAGAATGGGTAGACAAAGGAAGAGAAAGGAAAAGGAGAGAGGTTCTTGATTCCACAGCAACTCAAAGATATGTGTCCCACTGACAGGAAAAATGGAGGGCATGTAAAAAGCATTTAAATTCTCTAAAAAATGATCACTTCTCCCAACTTGCAGGAATAATGCTACAAACGAAGGGGAAGAAAATATAAGAAATGAAACAAACTCTAAACTGTACATACTTCACAGTTGAGGAAATAGATACTTCCTGAAAGGGCAAAAGTGGGCAAGGAAGAATGGGAAGGGAAGAATGCAAATGTCTTAAGATAGAATTAAAACTTGGATATAATAAAAAGCCTGACAGACCTCCCCTATAGAAGGGTTCACAGGCATGTTCCTAAAAGCAAGCAAGATTTAGACAAACGTGTGAGAACTAATTCAAAGCCCAACACAACAATTCTCGGGCTTTATTGGATAATCCATATTAATAAACATGTAGGGACCTATGGGCTTGTCAATCTGGAGCACTTGCTCGTTCTGGAACATGAATTTGTTATATTTAAAAAATATATTTGTTTAAAAAACAAGACAGAAATAAAAATCTATTTTCCTCTTAAAACAGCTAAAACAAGGATTATTCTAAAGTCACTGAAAGAAAAGCAGAAGTGAAGGAGGCTCAGATTTGCATATTTCTCTCTGGAAGATGCAGCCTAGGGTCCGAAAGAGTTACTGCACATGTAACAGTTCTCACTTTTGAGTGCCAGCTATGGTGGCAGAAATACCACCACCGAGTCAATCTTTAAGAGGAGCTAGAACACCGTGCTAGCTGTGGCCATCCAGTTTTTTGTTTTTGAAACATAGGTGGGCCAACAACCCATGGGAAGCATTGAAAGCATTCACGACTTCACCCATTCTCCCTCAGGGATCCCACAGAGACCACCAAGACCATTTCCAGAGGGAGGCCTACTCAGGCCTCTAATTTCAGTCAGAGAATTTCTGCACTATCTCACCCTGTTTCAAGGAGTTGAGAAGCAATGGTGTACACATGCAACATGGACCATTGAGGTACCAAGCCAGTCCACATAAAAATGACTGACTACCACCTAAGTCAGGAGGTGATTTGTTGTGTGATAGCGGGATACCGAGAATCTGAGTCCTCCTCTTCAGTGGATGTTTCCTCATAGATTTCATCCTCGGTAATGATGCTCCCTAATCCATATTCCTGCTCATGGACAGAAACCTCATTTGGTGTGAGGTGAGGAGAACCTTCCACAAAGTCAGCAAATCTGGAAAAGAGAAAATGATACTCATTAAAAACCTGCCTTCTGTCCTTTCTGGTCTCCTTCCAAAATAAGAACAAAGTGAAACCCTCGATACACTCACAGCTCAAATTTTACAGAGTCTGCCTTACTCCAGCAGGGAAGCAGACTAAAAGCAAGAAATAAAGAAAAGAGGAAAGCTGAGGTCAGAAGCCAACATCCCCTGAAATCCTATCCTGCTTAATAAGCACTAGCCTATCCTTTTAGTGAGGAAAGTGCTAAGGTTCCTTTAGTCATTTGTAATCCTGATAAGAGAAGATTATGGAGCATTACACATTTATTCATGTTTATGGCCCTATAAATTTTATGCCATCAGGATTCCACATTGAAGCTTCACATACTCATTGGTACAGTTGCTCCCAAATAAAAAGGGAACACACCCCCCCAACCCCACAGAAAAAAACCACTCAGAGAGCAATGTAAAACTATCACACGGGAAACAATACGGTACTGGAGTCTTCTCTCAATGCTACAATCAAATCTAGAGTAGATGGTTCCTTGAGGATACGCTTAACATATGATGATATATGTATCTTTTTCTCAACTACTCCTACATGAACAGGAAAACAAAGCCATGAATACAAAATGTTTATCTAGAAGTATGATCTCTGTTAGAACTCAAGGTCACAATACCCTGATAGATGCCTGGCATAGCTGGCCAAGAGTTTACCTCTTTGGAGACTGGATTCGAGAAACAGTCTTCCAAGCAGAGCAGTCTGGACTGTTACAATATTCTCGAAGCTCCTCTAAAGCCTTTCGGGTCTCCACTTCTCCTTGTATCCGATATTCTTCTTCTGTCAGGAGACGAGGGGGGACAGTCTTTTCTGTTGCCTTACACATCTTTCTGTGCTCACCAAAATAACATCATGAATCATTAATCAGTAATTTCTATCCAGCCTGCCCTCCAGCTTCCTTCAGTGAGCCAAGTATACAGCAGAGAGCCTGGACATTAAGAGTCATCATCCCCACCTTTCTTCTGTAGATATCTTTACTTATAATATACTCCTGACGTGTTAGACTAGGAATGACAATCAATAGTATTCACTAATGTGAATAAATTCACCTATTTTCCAATAAATGATAGACAAAATATTTGGAAAGTGGAAAAATGACAAGAAAATGATGGTATAAGATTGTGGCCCATTAACTTGAGATTCCCCAAACTGAAGGCATCACCTTGACTATGTATAATAGAACCACCACTGACAACCTCAGAATCTATGACCGTTCCATGTTCCTATACAAGATGATAACGCGCTGTGAGCTACATCTTAAGACTAGAACTCCCAGAACAATCTGAGAACCAATGTGAAATAATCTGGAACCAGGTGACCCGGAGGCATGTGGCATAAAAGTGGTATACTTTGCACCACCTAGTGGTAACAGGAACACATGACACTTTACTGGATGCTTTTCTTTTATATAAAATGACTAGAATAAAATTCTAAAAATGCCTTTGGAGAGTCTAAAAAGAAAGACCTGGAAGGAACAAAAGCAGAAGCTATATAATACAATCAATTTCCATGAACAAAGAGGCTCCCGGGTCAACGCCTCTGGACCCTTTTGCCACAACTGCATCCCAAATGGTGTGTTTCAATACAAAGTTATATTGCGTTTCGGTCACCTGTAGGTGATGTACAGCCAATGAATAGGGTACTCCAGGTTCTTAGTACACAGTGCAATGATGATAATGGCCAGGGCAATGTGTGGTATCTGGATACCGGAGTACATGAAAAATAGGCCCATCAGCTGCAAGGTCCAGGTCAGCAGGTTGATACTCCGTTCATTCTCCAAAGGCCCGTACTTGTAACAGACTGCAAAACTCATGAATCCAACTGTGAAGACATAGCCTAAGAGAAGAGTTATCAGAAAACATTCTTTTTCATCTATAACTGGTAAAAATAATTTGTGCAGGGAGCAGCAGTGCATTCACTATATGGCACCTATTGAACTAGGAAAATGGATAAGATCTTTACCCAGTTATTCATGCTTTTCTCATTACTCAAATATATTTATCTCCTTAAATTTCTACCCTTTGTTGTTTCCAAATTTATCTGGTTCAAATGGAGGATTAAAGCTACATGTTGAACAATGCTAGAATGGTCGGTTTAAAAAAGCCTAATATATGAAAATCCAGATTAATCACTTCTCAAAAGGTAGATTAAGGATTACCAACTGTACAACCAAAGGATCTTCACTTTATAGAAAAATCCACTGCAGAGTCCTTTGCTTCTTAAGGTCTTCAAGTGTATTTAAAATAGGATTATCTTAATAAAGTCAATTTATAACTTTTCAGCAAGATGCCTATTGTGTAAAGAGAAGTGTACTTATAAACACCAACCAATTAAAGTCTTCTCCCTGGCAGCACCGTTTTCACTTAATGTGACAACTGCACAGGGTTAGAAATAAAGTAAGAACTATGATTCTTACAGATTAATAAAATGGCATGGACTGTAAGCAGGCAACATCTTTTCAGGATCAAATGAACCAAAGCAACCTATAAACATATAAAAAGGAAAGCAAAACCGACAACACTTACTTAAAAGATACTGCCAGTAACACCTCCAGATCTCTTGTAAATTTTTTAAAACTAGCTGAATGAGGTACAGAGAAAAGGACCAGCCTCCCACCAGGATGACGTAAATGGGACTTTTCTAAGACAGAGTAGAAGTGAAAACAAAAAGTTACAACAGGCTTCCCATACATAAAAGCAGCAAAATGGAACTATGATTTTAAAAAAATTCAACCTACTAAAAATGCACAAAAACCACATCCCTTAAGAAGACATCCTATATATTTAAAATGGTATAGTGTGCAAAGACCACTGGGAAAATGAGGTGCTAAATAACTTAAAAGCCTGGCTATGTAATCAGCAAGCAGGAAGGAGACTTTCATTCCCCACTGTGCATAGGATTTTAAATAAAAAGGGGGAGTTTGTATGTAATCAGGCTCCAAGTGTCATCATGGAAAGTACCTTTCTGAATCAAGGAAAAAATCAATGAAAAAGGACATTGACTTATCAGCCACCAATGCAAATTTTCAGTGCTGTCAGATTATCCAAGAAAACTGTCCCTCAACTATCCAAGCCCCTCCTGACTGCAGATGAGGATTCTGCTACTTACCTTGGGCATAAACTTGGACAGTATGAAAATGACAATTAGTAGAGAGGCCGCAATTCCCACACTCATCCCAGTGGAATAGTAGAAGATTTGGCTTCTGCAGAGAGAAACGTTACTTCATGACTATGTGTGTAGTCTTCATACATGGCATTGTTCGAACAAGAACAACTATCGCAGCCGAAAGACAGAAAAAAGGTATCAGATTAGAGCAGGTCTATGTCTAAATCTTGAGGTCTGAACACTGATGGGACTGGTACAATGTAATTGCTCCTGGCTTATGAGGACTAGTATCAGTGAGGCCCCTCAGTTTCACGATCCCAACCCAGTTTTTAAGGACAATCTTCCTTCTGAGGAATTGCCCAGCTTCACTGGGGAAAAGGAAGGTGCAAGGATACTGCCTGAGTGGACACTGGAAACTGGAACTAAACTGATTACCCAGAAAGATAAACCAGATGCAGAGCCCAGAATAAAGAGCTTCTGCTCCACGCTCTTCCTGCCAGGCATTCCTCCCTCACTGTGAGTTTCTCTCGGGATCCCCAAAATAAGGAACAGCTTCTACCAATTTCACTCCAGCCCAACTTCAAACTCCAATGGGTAGCTTTCACTCATTATTCCACAAATATTCTTTTTACTTGTGTACAGAGTTAAGGTTGATTCTACGGTTGTTCAATGTTTGTTCAGTTATCTATGTTTTCTTATTTGTACATGTCAGTTTCACCCAGCTTAGCTAGGAGGTTCCTAAAAACAGGAAATGAATAAGTGGTTGGTGTTTGTTCCTTTACCCCTGAATGGCATGAAATTCACCAACACACGGTCCTGTAAAAATGAGGACTTAACATGTTATTTCGAATGGTGGAAAGGGTGGTGATGTACTGGCTAAATCCCATCACATGATGGCTCAACTTAATAGGAGAATTTCATTCTTGCCAATCTTGTTCAATTTAAGAAAAAGGCAAAAATTGTAACATGTATTAAAGTATTTAAAAAATTTTTCCAAGCAGGCAATGGCCTAGCCATAAAGCTCGTGGAAAAGGGAAGGGCAGCACTTTCTCTATGATAAAAGCCAACCAGGGTGGGTCTAAGCCTTGTCATTCTGCACTCCAGCCTTGGAACCTACCTGCTCAACAAATCTCCACAAAAAAATAGCATAAGTCCAAGGAGGAAAATGAAGAAGAGTTTGGGGTCAAATCCTGAAACAAATAAAGACTTCTGTTTGATAGGGAAAACAAACAGTATAAAGCATTATAGAATGAAAGACAATGTTGGCATTATTGGTCAGCTAATAAAATACAATTGACCCTTGAACAACATGGGTTTGAATTTGCACGGGCCACTTATACACAGACTTTTTCTGACAAATACATCACAGTACTGTAAATGTATTTTCTCTTCCTATGGTTTTTTAAGCAACATTCTCTTTTCTCTAGCTTACTTCATAGTAAGAATACAGCACGTAATATGTATAACATACAAAATATGTGTTCATCGACTGTTTATGCTATCAGTAAGTCTTCCGGTCAACAGCAGGCTATTAATAATGAAGTTTTGGGGAGTCAAAAGTTATATGCAGACTGGGGCACCTGGGTGGCTCAGTCGTTAAGTGTCTGCCTTTGGCTCGGGACATGATCCCATGTCCTGGGATCGAGCCCCACATCGGGCTCCCTGCTCTGCGGGAAGCCTGCTTCTCCCTCTCCTGCTCCCCGTGCTTGTGTTCCCTCTCTCGCTGTGTCTCTCTCTGTCAAATAAATAAATAAAATCTTTAAAAAAAAGAAAAGTTATATGCAGATCTTCCAGTGAGGGGAGGGGTAAATCAGCCAGCACCCCAATCCCTGTACTGTTCAAGGGTCACCTATAAACGCAAACAACCTACCTAAACAGCATTGTAAATTCCACACAAAGCCTGGGAACCCTTCCAAACAGAAAATATAAGTAGGTCTCTGTCTAACCTGTACTTTTCTGGAGATCTTATTTTTATTTTGGTTACTATGCTAAGGCTAAAAGAAACTAGGCTTTGCTTTGGATGGGAGCCAAGCATAATGCCATCAGCACTTCATGCAATCGCCCACAAGGGGTCTCTACCACTCCGGCTTTCCCGCGAAAGTCACTCACAGGTTCGGATTCAGCAGATTTGCCTAGAACTTTGGGTCTGGGCCCTCTGTTGTTCTCTAACTGGCTGCTTTTCTTGCCCAACACCACCACCTACTTCCTTCTGCTACACAAGCACTGTGTTGGAAAAGCCTACACTCAAACACATCTCACCCAGGACAGGGGGCCCAAGTAGAGGCCCCTCAGCGGCATACCAGACACTCCCACAGCATTCACATTCAAGAGCCCTGAGTTTAGGGGAGGTCCACAAACAGAACAGGAGCAAGAAGAATCAGTACATGTAAAAGGAGCACCAAAAAAAAAAAAAAAAGTCAAATTCTATACAACCAAAAAAACCTGAGGAACCATAGGACAGTTAGAAGGGCACAACATATTTTGTAGCAAAACCCAGGAATGTTTCTGCTATTCACAACATCCCAGAACCCTAGGTAGTAACCAAGGAGAGACCAAAAGTCAGAAAATTCAACAGGATAACGATCCCAGTCCTCTGTGAAACTTTCTCAAACATATTCAGAAAAGGGGAAACTCCCAGTTCCACTGAATATCAAGGCTTAAACTGCAGTGATTTTCATAGTTACTTATGGTTCCACAAATCTTTTTTACTTGTGAAGTATTAATATTCAGTTCTACTTTTCTTCAGTTTTTATTATTTAACCACTCAGGTCTTCAAATGTAGGTCTACACATTCAGGACATCTAACTTTGTCTAGAAGTGCCCAGAGGGCAGGAATAAATGTGTCTTACCCTAAAGAACACTAGGCATATCAGCTCAGGGCCACTGGAAGTATCAGGACACAAGTCTTCACAAATCGAGGTAAGGAGGTACTCAGAATGACCTAAGGCGAAGTCTCTATTCTAGGCCTAAAGGGTTGTACATGGGAGAGAGACTCTCTTAACTGTTTGGAGCAGTGGTGTACTCTGGCTATAATCAGAACCAGAAGGGAGTTTTCTTGGGCTAACTTCTCTGAATCACTAATTACACTCTCGAAAGCTCAGTCCCTTTTCACAATAGAATCCACCAGAAAAAAGAGGTTAAGACTTACTCCGGGTCACGATGATACTGTACTGGGTGTCTTCCTCTATAATCTCGACTTTGAGGCAGGTTTTTGTGCTGTATAGGCCCACGTTAACATAGGTGTCATTCAATTTCTCTTTTAAAAAGGAGGAAAAAAAGTTCCAGATACTAAACTGCTCTAACTCCTTCAGTTTCTCTTCATTCTCCACCTGGGTGACTCGTACCAGTTTGGAACTATTTACTCGGATCTGTAACACAAGTAAAATCAGGATGAGAAAGAAGTAGGAATTTTAAATTTTAAAAAACCGTGAGACTAAACAGCTAAATAAGTAATAGTGCCAGTTTTCCACAAGGCTTATAAGAAATATAGAGATGCAACGGCTCAAACATAATTGGGCAAATAACATTGTACATAGTACACAGAGGCAGCTGTTAGAATGTCTTGTTGTTAACATGATCTGAATCTGCTATTAAGCCAGAACAACACAGGGGGAAAAAAGACTTCCAAGGTGAGAGTTATCACTGTAGCTATTTATGACAGATCATACAAAATAAGGCTCTAGAATATTAAGAAAATTGCCAGGCAGAAATAGCCCCAGAAAACTGAAAATGTTTCCCATAATGACAGGCTGAGAAGTTCAACCCTTTGTCACAAATCACTGATTATGGGTAAATGTTGGTTATAACATGTCTCAGATGGAACATGATCTTTATATTAGACAATAAAAAAAAGAAAATTAAAACCCACAAGCCCACCCTTAATGTTTTTGATGTGAACAACAAATGCTCTTATCAGTAACTATGCCTACAGCAGCCGCAGCGTTTCCAAAAGGACTCATTTTGTTCAATCATTATTACAGCCAGACATCCTCGCTTGCCACGTGGCTTAATAGTGTCATGAAATAAATGAAACCAAAGTCATTTTATCTAGGGAAAACTTCAGGCACAGGGTTTATGAAACATTTTGTGTAGAATCAAAATAGAATAGGAACAGCCAGGCAAAAGAGTTTACATCCTGACAGGCACGCAACAGTTTTCAGGCCAAAGAAGGCATAAGGCTTTTGGCCGGGGGAGGGGGGGTGCGCGTGCACACGTGCACGTGTCAGTGTGTGTGTCTGTGCGCATGCGTGCGTGTATATGTGTGTGTGTGTGTCTGTGTGTATGTAGAAGGAGAGAGAGGACAAGAAGAAAGCTTCTTTGGGAAAAAGAGGAAGGAAGGTTACCTCAGAGTCAAGTATTATAAGCTACTTAAGGGAACAGAGACAGGAAAACTAAGTATAAATGTTTACTGATGAAAACACAATTCAGGATAATCTGAACCCTAACAAGGTTGTTAACAGTCCTTTTTTCCCCCCAATTGTGTGTGAAGGGGGAAAATGTGTCAAAGTACTCACTAATCACAGACAGACAAGATATTCACAGAAGCTGCCCCAGTCAGGGGCCTCCAAATTATTACCTGTATCCGTGTCCACACATCATGCCACTTTGGGATAAGCACATTTTTATAACAGAACTGTTGCCTGTGATCCAACTTATAAACTGTGGATTCCTGAAGCATGACCACGTCTGCATCAACTCCAGCTTTATGCAAAGAAAGGAAATAAGAATTGAGTATTACAGAACAAGTTAATAACTAAAATTCATTTCATAAAAAATAAACTGACTTTTTTGTTTTTGTTTTTTTTTAAGATTTTATTTATTTATTTGAGAGAGAGAGAATGAAAGACAGAGAGCATGAGAGGAAGGAGGGTCAGAGGGAGAAGCAGACTCCCCGCTGAGCAGGAAGCCCGATGCAGGACTCGATCCTGGGACTCCAGGATCATGACCTGAGCCGAAGGCAGTCGCTTAACCAACTGAGCCACCCAGGCGCCCCTTGTTTTCTTTTTTTTAACTGAAGTATGTTGACATACAATGTTACATTAGTAACAGGTGCACGACGCAGTGAGTCCCCAAGTCTATTCCTTATGCTGTGCTCAGCAGCGTAGCCAGCACCGGTTACCACGCAATGCTGTTACAGTACTGACCCCTGACCACTTTCTTAACGTTGGGGTTAACATGTCAGTGACTGAGAAACAAGGAAACTGAAATGAGAGAAGAAATAAGGCAGAGTCTTATTTCTGTCAAATTTAATTATTTAGATATTATAGGCACTAATCCAGAATAAGTAATAATAAAAGCTGCTATTAAGTGTTTATTAAGACAGTATGCTGTTTTTTCATTTAACTCTCCAACAATGCTGTGAGGCAGGCACTCTCATAATCCCTGTTTCACAAATTTGAAAAACTGATGCTTAAGAAGGATTAAGCAATTTGCCCAAAGTCACACCGCTAGTGAATAACTTAACTGAGATTCACACCCAGGTCCTGCTTCCCTTACAAAGGCATAGCTCAAGTAACCCCATCTATTTATTTCCTCTATCCTTTTCCTGAGTAGAATGAACAGATTTGGCAATGTTTTTGTATATACAGGACTTTAAGAAGATACTAACAGATCACAAAGTTGCTTTTTTCCAGTTGTTTTGTTTCAAGTTTTAAGAGCAGTCAACTAATATATGCCCTCCCTTTGATTTTGCCAAGACAAGATTCTCCATTCAGAAGTTTGTATTCAATCTCAGCCAACTCAAGGCTTAACCGTGACCACTCTCTTGTAACTTCCCACCCAAGTTTGCACAAGCTACCTTCTTTACCACAAAACAGTTAAATAACTTTTTCCTTAGTTCTATATTGTACTTACCAACTTATTAAGTGTACTCTAAGTGGAAATTTAGTTATCACTCTAGTCTAGGTACAAAGATAGGTAGATTTAAACTAAATAAACTAAAAATAAACTAAGTAACAATAAATAAACTAAATAAGTAAACTAAATACAACAAAACACAAAACACAAAAACCTCAACCAAACCTTAAAAAAACCAAAGTTACACACATGATAAAGGCAAGGATACTTGCCAGTCCAAAATGGCTTTGGTGAAGCTAAGACTAATTTTGAAGTTAATTTCTGCCTTAAACCTAAACATAAGAGCAAAAGCTACAAAACTCTTAGAAGAAAACACAGTGTGAATCTTCATGACCATGGATTAGGCAATGGTTTCTTGGATATGACACAAAAGCATAAGCAACCAAAGAAAAGACAGATGAATCAGAGTTCATAAGAATTTAAAACTTGTGTTGCAAAGGACCTTATCAAGAAAGTAAACAGACAATGCACAAAATGGGAAAAAATATTTGTAAATCATGTATCTGATAAGGGGCTACTATCCAAAATATATAAAGAGCTACAATTCAACAATAAAAAGAGAAATAACCCAACTGTAAAAATAGGCAAAGGATCTGAATAGACATTTCTCCAAAGAAGATACACAAGTAGCCAAGAGACACAGGAAAAGATGCTTAACATCATTAGTCATCAGGGAAATACAAATCAAAACCACAATGAAATACCACTTTACACTTATTAGGAAAGCTAAAATCAAAAAGAGGACAATAACAAGAGGTGGCCAGGATGTGGGAAACTAGAACCCTCACACAGTGCTGCTGGGGATGTAAAATGGCGCAGCCTCTTTGGAAAACAGTTTGGCAGTTTCTCAAAAAGTTAAACAGAGTTACCATATGACCCAGCAATTCCACTCCTATGTACATACCCAAGAAGACGAAATACAAGCTCACCCAAAAACTTGTACATGAATGTTCACAACAGCAATATCCACAATAACTAAAAAGTGGAAACAACCCAAATGTCCACCAACTGATGAACCGATGGATAAAACAAAATGTGACATATCCATCTATACAGTGGAATATTGTTCAACTATAAAAGGAAGTACTAATACATACTACAATGCGGATGAACCTTGAAAACATTATTCTGAATTAAAGAAGCCAGACCAAAAAGACCACATATGGAATGATCCCACTTATATGAAATGTCCAGAATAGGCAAATCCACAGAGACAGAAAGTAGATTTTAGTGGTTTGCAGGGGCTGGGAGGAGAAGTGAATGGGGAACTGCTAAGATGCATGAGGTTTCATTTTGGAGTGATAAAAATAATCTGGAATTAGTCAATGGTGATGGATGCACAACCTTATGAATATACTAAAAACCACTGAAAGGGTGAATTTTATTATACATTAATTATATCTCAATTTTTAAGAAAATTCAGTCTTAGGGAGCCGGGGTGGCTCAGTTGGTTAAGCATCTGCCTTCAGCTCAGGTCATGATCCCAGGGTTCTGGGATGGAGCCCAGTGTGGGCTCCCTGCTCAGCGGGGACTCTGCTTGTCCCTCTCCCTCTGCCCCTCCACCCATTTGTGCTCTCTCTGGCGCGCTCTCTCAAATAAATAAAATATTTTAAAAAGAGAGAGGAAAGGAAAGGAAAGGAAAAAGGAAAGGAAAAAGGAAAGGAAAGGAAAGGAAATTCAGTCTTCATATTGTAGGGGAAGAAAAAGTTTTCCTTGATCCTCTTAGTGTCCCTGCCTGGGTCTGAAAATTTAAACTGACAAAGATAGATTAACAACCCAAAAGCATACACATTTATTTAACAAAAGTTTTATGTGACACGAAAGCCTTCATAAGGAAATGCAGACCCAAAGAAATAGTTAGACCTATGTCCTTTATGCTACGTTTCATGAAGAGTAGACACTTGCGGAGGAATATGATAGGGTAAAGAGTATGTAGTAATGGTAGTAAGCTGGGGGAAACTGAGAAAGGCCTGTTTGCTTGGAATCCTCTCACTGTCCCGTTATCTGCATTTCCTCACATATGGGGAGGGAGGGCACCTCTCACAGGATATTATGGCCTGTTTCAGAGAAGAAGGGTGAGGTGGGGAGATCAGACAGACCTTCCTGCTTCTGCTGTTTTCTTAAACTCCCTCAGTTTAAAATATTCAATATGCCAAGATGCTATATTTCGAGGTAGCATGCCCTGAACCCCCATCTATCAGCTTCTCACTAGGGTTTAGTCCAGTAGTAATTAGGATTTCCTCCTAGCCTATCTTTCATAAAATGAAACCTTTTTAAAAGGTCTCACTAGCAAGCCCACAAATGTACTGATAGAGTATCCACTCATAAATATGGTTCAAGAGTTTATTTTCTTGGAGC